TAAGATAGGCTTTGTAATAGGCTAGATCTTCTAGAGAGCAGTTATTATAGCTTTAGAGAGATAAGGAAGGCTAAAGGCAGTCTAGCTAGGCAACTAGGAGTAGATAACAGTTATATAGGGTATTAATACTAAAGGATAGGCTATTCTACCCTTTATTATCTTTAAGGCACACTACTACCTCTCTAGCTAGTATAAGGAGGAAGACCTGCCCTAGAATTAGGTTATTATAGTCTCTAGTAATAGCTAGACTACTAATAAGCTTAGTTTTAAGTAGTTAAAGCACTTTAACGCGCATATAAAGGAGCATACTACTAGTACCTACTAACTGCTAGTTATTAATAGCTATAAGAGCTATAAATTGCTCTAATTCTAGAAATACTATAAGAATAACAAGATTATTACTCTATATATGCCTCTATACTTATCGCACCTTCTATAGCTACTTAATATAGGCTGTTTTACCTCTTTAAAGATAGTATATAGGCGCTAAGCTAAATTGCTTATATATAACTAAATTAGCTATATTATAAAGACTAAGTTCCTGCTATGCTTTAAAGCAGCCTATAATATAGTATTTACCTCTAGCAATATCTAAGGAGGGTTTTAAGGTGCTAGATTAGTCCTCTTTAACCTAGAATAGGTTATATTAGCCCTAAATATAAAGCTTTAGACTCTATTACTACTACTCCCTACTAATAATATACCCTAGTAGTTATAAACCCCTAGTAACACCCTAGAATTTAGGTTGTAATTAACTCTAATTTAAGAGAAGTATAAGAGGCAGCAGGGCAGCTTACTAAATTCTGTTCTAAGCGCGCTTAAGCACTATGCAAAGGGGGGAGCAATCTTATCCTATAAGCTAGTTTTAGCTTAATAGGAAATTAAGGAGCTTTAAGTAGCTAACAAGGCTGCTATGCAACAAAAATTATATAAAAGAAAGCAAGTTTAGAAGAAAGGGACCCTAATAGTTAAAGATAGGCAGTAGCTAGCAGCTCTAAAGGAATTTAGGGCGCGTAGTAATAGGAAGAGGGCAAAGAAGCAGGTGCGCACTTAAGAGGGCAAGCTAACCTAACAGCGCTATAGAAGGTGCAATTAGACAGGATATAACGCGCGAATGTGCAAGATTAATATAGAAGAGGTCTCTAAATAATATTCTAGCCTGTACTATACTATGCAGGACCAAAGTATAGTGTTTTAGGCTATAATAGGTTAAGTTTTAGTGGGGGCTTAGCAAAAGTAATTCGCTCGCCTGTTAATCCGCTCGCCTGTAGGGTACGTTATTTATAATTAGTTATTTTATAACCTTCTAACCTCTACCTTAAGCTATTATAAAGTTAGTATATAAAGAATATTTTATACTAACTAAAAAATAGAAAGTAAATCTAGATAAGTAAGATAAGAAGTTTACTTAGTATAGATAAGACAAAGAGGATATAACAACCTTAAAAGAGTTAGATTATGTTAATAGCAACTTTTTATATTAATAGGCTAGTATATAACAGTAAAAACTAATCTTCTTTGTTCTGTTAAAACGTAGTATATAAGCGTGTTAAATCTGTCTACTTCCTAACTAGTCTAAGGCAGATGTTTCTATAGGTCCTTTAGACCCAAAGCGCGCTCTTTGATCTTGGTAGATCGTCTAGCGTTGGCCTTTGCAGCCTTCCGCGCGTCTGTCGCTCGTGTTCCTCTCTCCCTTGACCGTCGTACGCCTTTGCAAAGTAAGGGTGTGATGTCAATGGATTCAAACAGACTGTACACACATGTATGAGTCTGTAAAATCAAGTTACGGACGACGAATGGAAGTTTTGAATGTAGAACGAATCGAGATAAGTGAAGTTATGCTTTCCAATCAACGTGTCTGTGCGAGGTCACGTCGGCTTCGAAGCCTGATACAAGTTATCTCCACGCGACACTCACGTTCAGGTCCTGACTTCTTTTTTCCACGGTTCGGCCTGCTCTCGCTTCTATTCTGGGCGTTAGCCCGGATTCTACCCCTCTTATTCCCTGTTCGAGCGTTGTTTAAGCTGCTGTCAGCATCAAGTGTTATGCTTATGCTTGCATTATGAGCATCACTGCTGACACGATCTGAGACAGATCTAAATTGACAAGTGATATGCCAGAAAGGGCTCTGGATTACTCATACTTGCTACCGATCGTGATAGACAAGATGGAATCCGGCTATGTGACAGAATCTCGTACGATGGACACACCCTTACTGGCAGCCATTGCGTTCGGTCCTCGAAACCTTGGTCTCATCTCCGACTTTCTGGTCCAGGAAGTGAACGCAGGTCTTCATGCCAAGGACGACATGGGGCGTGGTTACCTGCGGATAGCCTTTGGCCGAAGGGGATTTCTGAAGGCTGAGGGGCCTGACCATAGATTGTTCGACTTCGACTATCAATCAGAGCTGTTAGCACTGCTTCTCTCAGCGGACGAGAACTTTAGAGAACGGGCCATCACACCCAAAGAGACGCCTCGGCTCATAGAGCTTGCGTTCAATGCAGCAGCTTGGGATGTGTGGACATCGGTTTTCGGAAAGCTGAACTGGAACATCAAGGGAATGAACACATCCCGTTGCAAGATGCTACAGCGGCCAATGTCGGCCCACTTGGCGCCTTACGAGGAAGCACGCGTTCAGATGTTAGGACAAACACGATTCCGACTTGGTCTTGACAAGGTGAAGGAACTTCCGCATGAATGATTAATTTCTTACATTGTACATTCAACAGATGAAGGATGAAGAACAAGCACAGCCAGCCCATTTTTCACTATTGCAACGAGTTTCTTTTTCGATAGACCATAGCAGCAAGAACTGCATCACTCCTAATATAATATCCCTGATAACGCCACAGGGAAGGTCCTTTACAAAGCGAAATCGGCCAAGAGTAGTAAGTTCCGTCTGATAGGGGACCACCGTTGAAGGAAGCAGGACAGGTGATTGCGTGCCTTTCTTCCTCAACTACATTGTGTCTTCTGAAAGTGCAGCAGGATTATATCCTAACTGCAAGTCGTCCAGTCGCACTATAGACAGAAGTATCCCTGCTTAGGTGGCGCGAGGAAATCCAATAGGAAGGACTTACTTAGAAGAGGTATAACATCTACATTAGTCTGCAATGCTAGAAGTGCTTCGTACCAAGAGACAATAGCTTTGTAGACTAGTGTCTAGATTTTGTAGTAGTTGTAGAGATAGTTGTAGAGCGTCTTGTAGGGCACGATGCTTCTGTATAGATTGTATAGTAAGTATCTATATTCTAGTAGATAGGAGATGACGTTTAGAACTTCCAGCTCTGCAGGCTATTATATTGTTAGCAGGTGAGGGACTGAGTGGGGGTTAAGGATAGTGCAGCAGCTACGCTGCTATCATGCCTTATTCTTTGAAGGATCCTGCGTACAGACAGCCTAAGAGGAACGCGGAGAGGCGCTGTTAAGAGGTGCACTCCCTCTTGGATCGCCTACATAGATTGTCCAGCAGGTTATAGAATTATAGAATTTATCAAGTAAGCACAGGGGAAACAGATAGTGGAGGTATAAAGTAGAACTTGTTATAGGTGTAGTGTGTCTAAGCATACACGTTCATGCAGGATGGAGCTAGACTAGAACAGAACACCAAAAGGGGTTGACTTCAGACTAAGGCTGAAAAGGGGCGATTTAGGGCCGAAATTGTGCACTATACCGAATTGGGCACAAATCAAGCCCGTGTCGTGGCGGTCGCGTGGAGGTAGGAGCGCCACAATTTCAGGGTCGTCATCGTCCCATTCATCATGCAGCTCAAAGGTCTCGTCAAAGTAATCGTGAGCAGAAGGCATATAATTCCGCTGATCCAGAGTCTGACTCGGAGTGCGAGACAGCGAAGGAAGACAACACCCCAGAGCCTCGTCCGGCACAGCATCATCCCGTCGAGTCTTCTCTCCAACGTAAGATCGAGGCGACGTTCACCCCTCTAGTAATCACGGTCAAGGCATGCTCGATGCCGTCTTTTCTCTCGGCTAGCAAGCCTGCCACAGTGAACAGTAACCAGGCACAATTGAGTCCGTGGCCATCAATTGCACTCTCGAGGCCACCCATTCTCCCCGCTCGCACACCTGCTCTCTTGACCCCTGAAGACACTCAGCTCAGGCTTTCGCCAAGCTTTTTACGGCAATCCCTGGGATCGTCAACGCCAGTGGCCCAGCGCATTACAAAGTCCAGGGGTCAGCCTCCAAGAGATCAGCACAACAACGTCATTCTGCTCGATAATGACGATGATGATGCTGGCGACAGAGGATCTGTTTCCACCTTCCTCTCTCTTTCCGCCGTGGGTCTGTGAACAACAAGACAAATCTTATACCGGTCGTGTCATTAATAAAGAGGACCAATAACTATACTTGGAAGGCTGGGGTCGAGAGACCGGAATATCTCGAAGTCGCTTAGGTTGATCCCGCTCTTTTTGATGTCTTGTCAACTATCGCTCTGATCGTGGCTGAGAAGTAATGAACTGACATTAAGGCCTTTTGGAAGTCGGGCTATTAATGCAGCAGATCAGAGTCTATCTGATGTTCGATCGTAAAGACCAACACGAGACTGTGTGTTTGTGTTAACCACGTCTAAAGATCCGAAAGTCTCCGAAAATGTTACCCTCACTCTCTCAAACTTGTTGTTCACTTGCCGTTGCGACCACGATGGCTGCGAGGAGTATGCTCCAGCGATTGAAGAATTGGGTTGTTGCGGTTGGCTCCGGTCTCGTCAAGTCAGAGTATGATTGGCATCGATTAATCCACGGATACACTACAGTTTCGCATTTATGTCATAACCGCAACTGTAAGGAACCAACACATTTAAGACTTGAGACAATTCAAGTAAACACCTCACGCACAGCTTGCCAGCAAAAACAGTCATGCAAGTGCGGCAATACGCCTCGCTGTCACCTACAACATTTCTTCTCGAAGTCCAAAGGCGGTCTTCAGCAATGGCACCGACTATCATACGAGGGATGCCAGTAGAAGAATCCGCTTTCGTAAACTATGAATTGGGATGATCGACTATGACACAAAGTCCCCGTTGACTCAAAAACAAATGGCAGCTGCATCTGTCAATAGCTACGCCAATGTACACACTCTTCTTCGCCAAGCTGACCATCTGCTAGTGCGTTTTAGAATCCTAGGCAATTTTCACGATTGATTCTAAGCCTACACTCGCCAGTAAGCTTGTTGTTTATTCAAGGTGAGTACTTGCACGAAAATCTGCACAAGCGATTGAGATCTTACGCTTAAAAAAATATGGATTCATCATGACTCAATTCCTCCTGACGCTTTACTAATTTCATGTAAAGCTGATTCGAGTATACACGGTCTCACTCTTTCGCATCACCACAATCGATCTCATCTTCCATATCCCTAATATCGACGTCTTCAAGCTGCTGTATAAGAGGCAAGCTCATACCTTCTCAATCATAATTGTATCTGTCTTTTTTTCAAGGTGAGAATGGATGCTGATCTCGTTTGCCAGGGCACTTTGCTTGACATGATCCTTCGCAAAGAGAAGATCAATCTCTTCGAGAGATTTTCCAGTTGTCTAAGTTATGATCAGAAAAGCTATCAAAATTTGTTGGATGTAGGTCTTACCTCTGGGCACATGAACCACACGAAAGGAACTGCAGCAGCGCAAGAGAGGGCCATCCAGAGCCAGATCTTCCAGCCAACATTTTGAAGAGCAATTCCACCAGCAAATACGGTAATGAACGAGAATAGCCACTCTCCAAATGCGCCAGCGGCTGCACCAGTGTGACGCAGCTTGAGCGGAGCGATCTACGTATTCTGTCAGCAATGTTGCATATCAGGTATAAAGGAGGACAAACCTCGGGGCCATAAAGCCAGCAGACACCAATCCAGCCGTAACCGAAGACGGAGTTGTATACGAAGATTGCTGCAACAGCAGTCCATTGAGTAGCTGGAGTTGGGTTGGGAAGACCGATCATCGCAACGAATACGATCATACAGCCTGTCAGAGCAACGGCCGACCATAACAGTACTGCACGCCTTCCGACCCGTTCAATTGTGAAGACAAGGGGAATAGTGCCAGCTGCAAACAGAGTGTTCATGACCGCTGCGAGAAGTTGTGCTTTGAATAGAGGCAGGCCAAGTTGAGAGAATATAACCGTGCTATAATAGACTGAGAGGTTGATACCTGTTTCGTAGTCAGTATAATCGCATTGAACTATTCGCTTTCCAAAAAGCTTACCCATCATTTGCTGAATTGCAAGGATGAGGAACGAGATGCGGATTCGGCGACCGACGCGGAGATCGCTGGTGTCCCAGAACAGGTCCATGATGCGGAAACCGTTCTCCTCCTGCTGCTCGAGAAGAACACTAGCCAGAATCGCTTGTTTCGTTTCCTGGACGCGGGCATCGTTGATATCAGCATCGAAGAGGTTGGCCATGATTTTGTCTCCCTCTTCAATGCGCCCCTTCGCGTAGTACCAACGTGGTGTATCAGGCAGGACAAACATGCAAGCACCGGCCACGAGTGCGAAAACACATTGCAGTGCGATAGGGAAGCGCTAATTGATTGTTAGTAGACACTGCCACTGGGTACTTTAGGAGATCAATATACCCATGAAATCTGGTTAGTCATACGTGTGAACCCGAAGTCGATCCAGTAGGCAATCGCAGCGCCCGAGACGAGCCACACACAAGTAACCGCAACATTGGGTCCACGACCCTCTGTTTCAGTGCTCATCTCAACCTGGTAGGTGGGTATCGTGCACGAGATAAACTAAGCGAAGATCAGCGATGATCCTTTGAAATAAGTACAGATGAGCCTACACCGATGCCAATGCCCTATCTTCATTAGCAAGATTCATCATACAATCACACGGGTCTCAATTTACACTGAAGATGCGACCAACAATGATGTGGGGGACAGACCATGCCGACGCCTGTAGAGCCCCTCCCACGATAACGGCAGCGTTACCCAAGAGAATGCAGTTTCGGCGACCCAGCGGAAGTCCCATGACCGAACAGAATAACGAAGTCACAGTCGCAGCGAGCGTGTATGCTGATGCAATCATGGGAATGACATAAGTACCAGTCGGGTTCTACCAACATTATCAGAGATTTGCAGGCTAGCGTGACTTGCACTTACACCGAGAGCCTCATAGAACGGCTTCGTTTCCTGGACACCGCCGAGAACTCCAGCATCGTAGCCGTAGAGACAGAAGGACTGTTTTAGTTTAGATCTTTGCATCTGAAGTCCAACCACAGATGTGAATCTGCGCGATAACGACGCACCACTGAGCAGCTGATTTTGATGAGCCACTCGATCGTCTTGGCCTTGAGATGGAGGCGTGCAAAGCCCATGTTGACAGAAAAATGGGAAAGAAGTTTTGTGAAATGGAAAGAGATGGTAGAGATGGTTCGAGAGGAAAATGTGCGTATCTGGTGTCTAGCTGTTATTCCCAACCGCTGATCCAGCAACTGATTATCTACCCCTTTCGCCAAGATAGGTCAAATCTGGGGACCCCGCCAACCTGAGATCTGAAGAACTGGACCACGCACCAAGATGCGGAGAAGTGGGTCTAGGAGACCATGAAACGAGCTTTACGCGAGAGCTGAATGTTGATCGACTACGATGGACACAGATAACACGGATTCGGGCGCGGTGTTCGACGCCAAGTGTGAAAAGGACATGACAGCAGTGCTTTGTTGTCGTCATGCCGCAAAGGAATTAACGGACATGAGGATCAGAACATGAGTCATTCTGGAAGACCTCAATGTGGCTTGCGTAGTACAGAACGCCAATCTCGTCGTGGCGCAATCTTGAGCGCGCTCGGAATTAATCAGTGCATCCCGAGTGGGTGGCATCCCATACAATACGAGGTGAGAAATTTGGTGTGCAGTAAGAGCATTCAGGTAAATAGAGTTGATGTACAATGATAGTTGTTTTGCGGTGATATTCTACCAATTAAATCAAGCATTCAACCTTGGTTTCATACCATCTTTTCCTCCCAGCTCCTTGGCCGTAGTGCCAACGACAATGTTCTCATATCCCACCATGTAAGTCATGGGTAATGCCATGAAAACGTCACAGTCGTCTTTCAGTGCTGCGGCGTACTCCTTACTATTGTAGAAAGCAAGCCAGTCATCCCATGTCTTGACCCACAACTGAGCGCATCCATCGTACTCCAGAAATTTCTCTCCCAGTGATTTGGCGCGTTCCTTCATCTCTGGGGTCTGGTGATGCTGCGATGGTATTTATGAGCTCTTCTGCGCTAGAAAGCCATTCGGAACAAAGCGCTCTGAGCGAGCATCAACGTACCTGAGTATATCGAACGATGTGATCTTTGAACGCGTTTGTCGCTGTAGCGAGATCCGCGTGAACGGTACGCCAATGACCAAAGAAAGTATCATAGTCAATTGACTCGATCTTCTTGAAAAAAACAGACACTTTGATGCACTGCTGGAAATTGCCCTCGGAGCTGTAATCGAGCTCCGGAGAGTTGAAGTTGTGTTCGATCTTGTTCCAGGTCATGGTGAGTTGAGGCAGTCAGGGATGATAGATGTGAAGGATCAACGAACTCCCGCTATCAGGATGTCTAGGGTGTGGGAGGAAGTGGCATATTTTTAATCTCAAGGCTACTTGGCTTCTGGCTTTGGAAAATCGATGGTTCAGATCGTTGCAGCGCAGCTCCAAGGAGCCTGCGAGACAGAACCCCAGAAACCCAGGATCAGTGCATGAGTCATTGGAGGCTAATCTCGTCACAGGTTTGGCTTCTCGTACTAACCCCGCTTGACCCCGCACCTGAAGGCATGACATCTGTGGAGAACTATTGGATTTCCAAACATGTACATTTCCACGTATGGTTTGGACGACTTCAAGGAGCTAGTGGTCAGCTGATCCGAGATATGGTCATGGTTGGAGAGTCTCTGGCAATGCGGAGGTCCGGTAAGGACAATTGCACGACTAGCTGGGCGACAATTTAAGATGGCATATGACGCCCTGTTCGTCCCTGACGCAGCCACGCTAAAGCTCAACTACCAAAAGCTGTACTCACCCTTTGAGCTGTTTCTATAGTAAGAAGTTCCAAGCTTGTCATCACTTGATCTTTCTCGGAAAAGCTTCACGAACGCGCCATGGCCCCAGTTGCAGTCATTACAGGCGGAGGTGAGTGAACCTGTCGAGCTGCTATTACGAGCTAAGATCACTGATACAAAACCGCGCAGCCTCTGGCATGGGCCTTGCGGTCGCACAATCGCTAGCAAAGAAAGGCTGGCATGTTCATATTGCGGATCTGAATGAGTCGGCGGCGCAGAAGACTGCGACCGAGCTGTCCGGCTCATACACTCGCACGGATGTTAGCAGCTATGAATCACTGCACTTCATGTTCGACACGGTATTTCAGGAGAAGGGCGGGATCAACTTCGTTTTCGCAAATGCTGGAATCGGCGAAAAGCAGGACTTCTACGCTAGCACAACAGAGCAAGTGATCTCGTCGAAGCCCCCAGAGCTGGATAGGAACATTGATATTAATCTGAAGTCTACGATTAATACAGCCTACCTTGCTCAGCATTACATGCGAAAGAACAAAGAGAAGGGAAAGGCATGTCTGGTTTTTAATGCAAGCATCGCGGGCATCTATCCGGTACGATTCTGCCCTGTCTACACCGCCGCGAAGCATGGTGTAGTCGGGTTTGCTCGTGCGATCTCAGAATATTTCTACAGAGAGGACAGTATCAGAGTCAATGCTTTATGTCCTGGGAACGTCAGGACAAACTTGTTCAAACCAGAGGAGTGGGATGCTTTCAAAATGGAGTTTATTGAATTATCACAAATCGTAAGCATCGTAGAGATGTTTCTTTTTGATGAGAGCATGCATGGCAAGATTGTAGAAGTGGCACCAAGAGATCACTACTTCCACAACGCTCCGTCATACACCAACGAGAACGTCAGAATTACACTTGCTGAGCCGACATTCAAGAGCATGGGCAAATAGAGTAGCCAGCGTTAAAGAAAGAAATCTATTCAGTACTCCAAATCATCACAAGGATGTCCGCGTCAATATATATGTTCTATCTTGTTTGAGAAAGTTTCCTATTCCTGTTGACGTTTATAGTGATTATCACGAGCGTAGGACTCTTAAGACACTCTGCACACATGCTGAACGCTTAGTCTCGAGCTGCAAGTACGCAAAATATGTGAGAAGTTGCCAAGGTTTCTTGATTACTCTTGAGCTAGTAGTTCAGGTTGATCAAAACAGTCTTAGGCTCAGTGTAGGCACGCAAAGCGTGTTCTCCGTTCTCGCGCCCAAGCCCGCTTTCTTTTGTCCCACCAAACGGACAGTTGTGTGAGATGGTGCTGATGCAGTTGATCCCAACAACACCTGAATCGACAGCTGAGCTCAATTTCAATCCTCTCTGGATATCCTGTGTAAAAACACCAGCCATCAGACCGTATTTGCTGTCGTTGGCGCGTGCGATGATCTCGTCCTCGTCGTTGAACTTGTTAATGACAACTACGGGACCAAAAATCTCATCTTTGTAGATGGATGCATCGCCTTCAGTGTCTGTGAAAACGGCTGGTTCGATGTAGAACCCCTTTCTCAGATTAGCATCTGGCAATCTGCAAGAATCGAGTCTGTCGCGTACCTTATCTCCCAAGGTCCGGCCACCGTGTAGCAGGGTGCCATCTTTGTTTTTCTTTGCGTCCGAAATTATTCCCATTATCCGATCGAACTGAGCCTTGTCGACAACGGGACCAATCTCCACACCCTCTTTCTCGGGGTCGCCAATCTTGTCGCCCTTCGCTTTGAGGGCTTCAATGTATGCCTCAAGGAATCGATCGTAAATTCCCGCCTGGACATAGAGTCTAGTTGCAGCGAAGCAGATCTGACCGCTATTTGTGGTGAGCGCATTGACAGTCCTAGATATACGGTCTGGTCAGTTTTTGCAGAGCAGTGATCGCAACATCGGCCACTTACCACTTAACTGCGTTTTCAAGGTTGGCATCGTCAAAGATCATAGCTGGGCTCTTGCCGCCCAACTCGAGGGTCACCCTCTTGAGATTGCTCTTTGCCGCCATAACTTGAATAGCCTTTCCTGTCTGGATACTTCCTGTAAAACTGACTTTTGCGACTTTCTGATGGGAGGCAAGAAGAGCTCCTGTGCTTCCATCTCCAGTGAGCACTTGGAAGACACCTGGTGGAAAACCAGCCTCAATAATCAATTTACCAAGCTCGGCGGCCATGAGCGGCGTCTTCTCGCTTGGCTTCAGGATGAATACGTTGCCTGTGGCGAGCGCAGGTGCAGCCTTCAGACCGACGGATGCTAATGGGCCGTTCCAAGGGATAATACTGTCTTGTGTCAGCGCCATCTTGTCTGAAAATAGTACATAATGAGTACAACGTGCCCTGCGACCACTCCGAGCGGCTCATTGCGCACGATCTTATAGAAACCATCATCTGCTGGGTATGTTTGTCCACCAAACTTATCAATCCACCCAGCATAATCTGTCTATTATCAGTAAACCGCAAATAGAGATTTTGCAGCCAAGCATACATCTGAAACATCCTATTGCTGTCTGGATCTCTGATTGACCAAATGAGTGGAAAGGACTTCCCAGTGTCGTCCTTGTCAGCTTTCCCAAACGCTCTTGGTTCGCTTCCAGAATATCAGCAAACCTAAAAAGAAGTTTCTGCCGTTCAGCATTCGTCATTGTGCGCCATGGCGAGTCGAGCGCGAATGCTGTATTGGCTATCTTGACAGCTTCATCGACATCTGCTTCGCCCGCAACAGGAATTTTGTCGCATACAAGTTCGCCGTTGGCAGGGTTGTAGACAGAAATCCTATAGTGAGATGAGTATTTGCCGCGCCAGAACGTAGACTGGAGATCCTCACGTTTGCTTGTTGCGGCTATCCACATACTGTGATTGTTAGCAACCCGAATAAACTGTCCAGGGGATTCGAATGGCTTTAAACCTTGTTATTAATGAAAAGTTGTGTGTGATGCGGTTCTAGCTCCATGTTGTCGGTGGAAATTGACCTTGCCTGTACGTGAAGTTCCGTGCTAACGGCAGCTCCCAGCAGCGGACGCGACTTATAACTCAAGCCCACCCAGGGCTCCATAAACTACCCAAGTGCGGGTCTACCGCTTAATTTTTACAATTTACAGTGGCTGACTGATGATGCGTGCACCATCAAATTGCCTCGTGTGCATTACGAAGGGAGCGGGGGGCCACAAGCGGAACTTAGTCATGTCATCCCGCTGGCCTTTTAGCGCTGTCCCACACAAAACGTGTGATTTGTGGGGGACGAGATTAGACTTGTGGGGTTGTAGCATTGCGGGGTGTGTCCTGAATCCGGGGCCGGAGATGTGTTGCTGATTGATCTTCCCGAGGTCAGTCGATTCATGTTCTCTCTAGTTGGTTACAGATGCCACGAAGCAGCTCTTGTGCACGTACGACAAGCGCTACATCGACTGGCATAGACCAAGCCTTATTGTAGAAATGCAGAGTCCAGCTGATGCAGTAGAGCACTGATCTCTACGCTCCCTTGAAATGATCATGTAGGAAGCATGTCTAAAAGCGAGGTAGAGCGGGGCGAAGGTCTTACGATTGTTAGTAAAAGCGCAGGGTGTCGTTGTGTATGTAAACGATGAAAGTGCACAATTGTCAAAGAGCATACCATTTAGTTCCTTAACAAAACGAGTAAGCGACCACACTATAGAACAATCATCATCAACACCTGCTATAGATAACTGCTCCCATATTGTCTACAATCTATCTAGTGAGCAATCGGCTTAGTTGATCTTGGAGCCTTTCCCATGCAGCTGAGTCTTTCGCACAGGTACCAAAGAGAGCAACTAGTGCAAGAAGACCCTTCGTTGATAGCAAGAGCGATAAGATCGACCTATAAGCAAAGGCAAAGACCCACGTCCTATTACCGCCTTGCAACACAAAGTCATTCCACTTTGGGAAGTATGTTCTTCTCCAAAAAGTGGAAGCAAATCCGGGCCAAGACGCTGTGTTCCGCCCCTTGCTGTTGATGTACCAGTTAGAGCAGCCACTAGAGAAGACGGTACCACTGAGCTCATCATCAATGCCTGCTACAAAACTATCCTCGGCCTCTTGCTTTGCCTCAATTGTGGCTGCGCGTCCAGTGAGCAGAGGGACTACAAGCGTCTTTGCAATGTAATCAACTTGCACTTCCGATGCGAAAATGACAGAGTTGTGAGCTGGGAATGTGTTCGGACCGAACCTATCATTTATTAGCAGGCAACTCAAGAATGTATAGACAGTACTTACATCAGCGCAAAGTTTGGAAAGTTATGCACAAATACACCCATGTACGCCTGAGCGCCAGCACCTGAGTTCCACTGTTCGTGAAGATCGATCTTGTTCTTGCCAATGACTTTGAGTGGTCCAAGAAAGTTTGCGACTTCAAACCCAGTTGCAAGAACAATAACATCAAACTCTTCACGCACGCCAGATGCGCTTGTGATACCCTTAGTATCAATCTTAGAAATTCCCTCAGGCACCAAACTCATGTTCTCGGCGTGCAAAGCTTCCAGGTAACCAGGATCAAATATCCTACGCTTGCACCCTATGTGCCTATTAGTTTATGCTACAGTGGTCCTATTATCCATACTAACCGAGAGGGAATTCTGGCACGATAAAGTCGTGGTATTTCTTTGGTGCCATTGAGTAGATATACTCCTTTGCGGATTTCTCAGTAGCCGCTCTCAAAACCTTCGATTTTTCGCTCGACCCGTACGTGGTGACTAGTGCATCGCTAGAACTGAATATCGAGTACCGGTGGTACCTCTGCCAAAAGGGAACGAATCTGAATAGGAGCTTCTCAAAGGATGAAAATTCACGGTTGGGTCGCTCGTGGTACCACTGTGCGCTTCGAGCAAATCTTGAAATCTTTAGTATGGACGTGGTCATTATACGCTGCCAGCAAACACTTACTGTTTCAGGTACGCCACTTTAGACACCACGCTTGGGACGACTTGAGCTGCGCTGCAACCATTCCCAATGAGTGCCATTCGCTTGCCGCGGTAATCGTAATTCTTGTCCCACCGTGCTGTATGGAAGACCGCTCCTTCGAATGTTTCGATTCCAGGAAACTTTGGCTTTCTTGGTTCGGCGATACTACCAATCGCTGATATGAAAATGGTCGCCTTCTTTGTATAGCGCTGCTTTGTGAGTTCGTCCAGGAAGGTGACCTCCCACACTTTCTCATTCTCAATCCATCGTCCGCCTTCACAAGAAGTGTTAAACACAATGTGTCCGCGAAGAGAGAATTTGTCAACTGTAGCCTCCATGTCTAAAGATGTCAGAAAAAGTTCAAGATGCCCAGATACCGTTTGACTCACAATCAAGGATCTCCTGGCGATCGCAAAGCTCCTTGGACCAGTACGGGTTTAGGTTAAAGCTGAATGAATAAAGATGTGTAGGAATGTCGCATCCGCTAAAACGCGGTCGTCAGCAGGCCCTCCTTTTGTCGACTTCTAGCAAAGGGAAACCTACCATCCTGGGTAGATGTTCGTTCTCCATGTGCCTCCTGCACCATCCAATTTCTCGTACACCTGAATGACCGTGAGCAGTCTGCCACCAATGTTCTGACTGAAGCGGCACATACCGTGAAGTTATCGAACCCCAAAGTCTGCTTTAACTTGTGCGCCATTGCGATGCCCGAGGGCCCGGCACCGATGATAATTGCGTTGACCATTGTGGAATGTTCTTGCTGTCGAATACAGGAAGAATACTGCATAGGAAGATGAAGATCATATAGTCATGCCATTCATACATACCTTTGTATGCACTTGCATTAGAAATCGTTCGCCGCCCCACTTCCGTCCCCCACGGGTGCTGATAAGGTCTTGACAAAGATCATACCCCGATGTTTTGGCATGAAAGACATGAGTAATGTATTTCCCCGCATTGCACATTTCCGGAACTGATTAATACAGAACTGCGCCGTAATTGCCGGAATTCATGCAGGTAATTCCGTGCCTAGGTCGTGGAGGGGAACATTTGGATTTCCACTTATGTTGCATAACTGTCTGGTCTCCTGGCCAGACCCTTACCGTTTCCTTCCTCGATGGCTGAGACTCGCAACGCCCGGGTCCACGCGCCGGCGGTGGATATTCCGCTGAGTGAGCACACGTGTACTCTCTCCATTGTTGACACGACATGTGTGCTCACGGTACCTGCAGAGACTCTGGTCGATCCTCCGATCCTTGGACATGAGTTGATGAATTTTCCCACCTTCTCGTTCCTGATTAGCAATTCCTCGTCTGGAAAGCAAATACTGTTCGATCTAGGATGCAAGAAAGATTTCTGGAACTTGCCTCAGCCGGTCGCAGATGTAATCGACGCCAAGGTTCCTGGAATCAGTGTCAATAAGAACCTCTCTGAGATACTGGCCGAAGGCGGCGTTGATACCAATCGTATCGACGCGGCAATCATCAGTCATCACCACTATGATCACATCGGTGACCCAAGCACATTTCCACCATCTATGGAGCTATTGGTAGGACCCGGATTTTCTGATGCCCTGTTGCCAGGATATCCCAAGAATGAGGCGTCACCAATATTCGAGTCCGATCTCGTTGGTCGAAGCGTGCGCGAGCTTGCCTTCTCAGATCAACTAGCAGTCGCAGGATACCGCGCCATAGACTACTTCGCAGATGGTAGTTTCTACATCTTGGATACGCCAGGTCATGCAATTGGACATGTTTCAGCGCTTGCTCGCACAACATCGAATACTTTCGTCTTTCTCGGCGGCGATATTTGCCATTTCGGCGGTGCATTCAGGCCCACTCAGTACGTGCCTATGCCAGAGATCCTGACTCCACATGATGTTGGACACCAGAAACGGCGCGATGAGCCCTACCCACACTCAATATTCACCAATTGTCATCCAGACCAAGCGAATGCTAGGACTGTGCCATACTATACGCCGTGTTGCAGATCGGATGGATGGTACGTCGATCCTCCCCGTGCACTTGAGAGTGTCGAACAACTCAAAGCTCTGGATGCGGATGATAGAATTCTGGTTCTGATTGCGCACGACCCCGCAATGTTGAATGTAGTCACATTCTTTCCACATGGAAACGCCAATGATTGGCAAATTCTGGGCTGGAAGAGTACGCTTCGTTGGAGGTTCTTGGATGAGCTGCCTTCAGATGTGAGGGAGCTGAAGTATCTCGTTGACGGAACGTACATGGAAGGGAAACGTGTTAAAAATTTGCAAGGTACTAGGTTATAGTTGATATGCACATTATAAGAAAGATTGAACTCTAAAATACATATTTTTCGACATCAATACTTCTGTGCATCGAGGATCACTTTGTGTACCTTCGAAGCGTCGAACAGAGAGTAGCCCTCTACAGCATCATTCAGGGGCAGGACCGTGTCTGTCATGAAGCTACTTCTGTCAGTCCCTGTGTGTGAGATTGGCGATACGTAGTGTGACTCACTCAAGGAGGTGTTGCTTCCTCTCTAGCAACTCAAGTGCCTGTGGAAAGATGCCTGTACAAAATCATTAACTACTCTGTTATTGCTCGAAATGAGATGCACTTACTGCGCACGGGACATCTGCCCATCTGGAGGGTCAAATTCTTCCCATAGGCCTGATTACCAGTCCATGGTATCGGGCCGTTGTGCACGCCCACACTTGAGATCGTACCCCAGGGTCGAAGTAGCTGGAATCCCATCTCAAGAGCGTCGCTATGGCCTACGACCTCAATGACTACGTCAGCTCCCCGGCCGTCCGTGAACTCTAGAATGCGTTTTGCGAGTCCTTCCTTGTCTGTTTCATAGTTCCAAGGTTCTGCACCAAGCTTCTTTGCAGTATCCAGACGTGAGGGAATTCTATCTACAGCCAACAACGCCTTGGGTTGGTACTCAAGAGCTGCAATCAATGCACATAGGCCGACTGGACCGCAACCAATCAGGACCACGACACTTTCTCGGGCAATCGTAGGGTCGAGTTTGCTCAGACCATTGCTGGCTGCAAAATATCCTGTGGGAAAGATGTCGGCCATGAGACACAGCTTCAACTCTTCAATGCCCTTGGGTGCTTTGACAACAGTCGACTCTGCAAGTGGAATGCGAACATACTCCGCTTGTGCTCCATCAAGAAGCGGGCAACCAAGCAGCAGAGATTTCTCGCAACGCGACGTGTAACCGTGCGTGCAATAATAGCATTCTCCACAGCTGACAGTGAATGGACAGACGACTGAGTCGCCAGGGACAAGATTCTTCACGTCCTCGCCTACTTTGTCTACAACGCCGGTGACTTCATGGCCCATGATAAAGCCGGTGTTGGACGGCTGGTGACCCCTAAAGACGTGCAATTCACTGAGTGGAGAATCAGTACAGACGACCACGCTCATTCAGTAAGATAGCCAGCTTACCTTCCACATACTGCTGTATATCGGACTTTGACGACGATGTCCTTGGGGTCTTGGATGGTTGGCATAGGGCGGTCTTCCACCGCGACCTGGCGAACGCCTTTGAAGACAACTGCGCGCATCATTTCATCCAAGTGGGACTACGCCGGCAATTGCGCAGCAGGCCATAATTAAAACAATTGTCCTTGAGACAGCGCAGGCACAATGCGATGGAAAGTCACGCGGGCGATATCGTGGTTTGGTCTTAGTATGTGCATTGGGATAGCATGAGTAAGTTGCAATTACTGATGTCATCAGAGCTTTCCCCGCACATCCAACCCTTTGCGCTTGATGCTCTCCACACTGGTGCGAGACCATAGCGCATACGGCATAGTCTGCAACGCAAATCGCGCAGCCTTGATCCCGCTCGCCTGGCCCTGTGCCTGGCGTGCGGTAATGCCTTGCATGATGACGGCAGTCCTGAAGAGGTTGAAGGCCACGGCCCAATCCGCGCCTGACTCAGGATTCCAGCCGACGCCATCGCCGTACCAGGCATAGCACTCGGCAAGACTCGGGATTCCCGGCACGTTGCCCTGACGGAATTTCTCTTGAACTTCCTTTAGTTCATCGGTCAAGGTCTGCTCGATGAGCATTGGTACCTGCATTGCCGACCAGTTGAACGAGGCGGTCAAGTTGATCAGATCGGACGTCGGATGCCCTTCGGTGGCCATCTCCCAGTCTAAAATGCCAATGACACGGGCCTCGGTCTTGTGGAAGACTAGATTGTCGAGCTTGTAGTCTCCATGCACGAGCGCCTTACGTTCGGTCGGCTGAGAGCTCTCGTTGGCGAAGAATGACACCAGATCATCGAGGTAAGGCAATTTGCCCACCTCCCGACCCGTAGAGGTGTTTCTAACTTGAGCTTGCGCAGCGGAGACCTTCGAGAGTGCCTTGACCTGGCGGCTGTAGAAGCGGGTGGGTCTCTTCCAGTCGTCTAGACCGACTGCCGATGGGTCGACTGTGTGCAGCTTCGCCAGTGTACGTACTGCCTCTTTCCATCTAATGCACATCAGCATGGCCTTTGAGAGGCTCGGGAGTCTTACATCAGGGTACGTTCTTCTGGGGTTTGATCCGGCAACCATGCATCCTCGAAGATCCTGCCGTCCAGAAACTCCATGATGTAGAACGGTGTCCCAAGGACACTTTCATCTGCGCAGAATCCATATGTCTTCGGAACCGGCACGTTCGTGTTTTCAAGGGCTTTGATGACCCGATATTCGCGCTCAATTTGGTGCGCGCTTTCAGAGAGTATCTTGCCTGGTGGCTTCTTTCGCAGTACATATTTTGAGCCGGTAGCCGACGTGATTTCGTACGTCGGGTTGGATTGCCCATGGCTAAACTGTGTTCGATCAAGGTCAATCAAGTGAGTTCGGCAAGTCACAGGTGTGAATACTTGCCTGCTTCAAACGTAGCGGTACGCTGATGGCAGGAATGTTCGCTTGAACATACTTCGTAAAGACTTCTACATCAATAGGCTGTCGCATATTGCCTGCCATTTTCTGTACGCAGACGTGCCAAAAGTCCGACTGAAAGTCCGTTTATAACGCGCGATTATGCTTGACCATGGAACCGTATTTTTCTTAAGTCGCCCAAAGCTGCAGATGCGTACAGAATGACATGACTAATTCCAAGTTTGTCCAAAGTCCTGGTAACAAGGCTCGCTCATGCACAGTAAGAATGTCCGAACCGAGGCAAGTGGATGACCAGCAATATGGTATTTCTGTGTATAGATATCAGGATTAAAGATTGAGCTCTTTTCCATTGCTTCGTATTTCAGACTACTGTCAGCATTATGTTGTTCACATCGCAGCAGCCAGATATCGAACGTAAGTAGACAACAGCTCGTTACTATGATCTCAAGCTGATTGAACATAAACAGTACCCAAGCACCAGTCACTATGGTCCTGGCTGTTTGAGTCTCGCACGCCGACCTTCAATCCGACCACCGTGCAAGGCTTCACCGATGTCTCCACCTTGAAGCATATCAGCTTCACGGATCTTACAAAATACACAGAGGCTCTGTCCACGGTCTTCTACCGAGCGTTTGGCTTGCGTGAAGGTGATGTAGTGGTCGTCTATAGCAAGAACTCTGTCTGGTATCCAGTGATAGCTCTAGCAGCTGTTCGGATCGGTGCAATTGCCTGTGCAGTTTCACCAGAATATACTACAGAAGAGCTAACGTATGCTTTGCGCTTGACAAAAGCGAAGCTGTTCTTCACTGCCGCCGGGTCAATTTCCAACGCACGTCTCGCGTTGTCAGCTTCTGGACTGGCTGCCACGAATCTGTTGTGTATGGATGCGAACCCAGATGGCTTTGCGAGTGTCCAGGATCTCCTGGCCAAAGCAAGCGACCCCATAAACTCGATCCAGGTTCCCCAATTCCAGATTCCCACAGGTCAGACCAACCATGATGTTTGCGCCTATCTCTGTCTTAGCAGCGGGACTACCGGTCTGCCAAAAGCAGTGATGGTCTCTCACGGCAACATTATCGCTCAGTGCCTTCAAGTTCAGCAGATCACACCCAAGGACCACGACAAGATCGTTGCAGCTCTGCCGTTCTATCACATCACTGGTATCGTACACGAACTTCATCTTCCCATTGTGATCAATGCCCACACGTATGTACTGCCAACGTACACACTCGACTCGCTACTCGAAACGGTGTGTCGGTACCAAATCAACGAGCTCTTAATCGTCCCTCCCATCTTGATTCGACTGGTACGGGATCCAGCAACAGTCGATAAGTACGATCTCTCGCATATCCGTCGCTTCTCGTCTGGTGCGGCACCTCTACCACGCGAGATTCTTGGTCTCCTGGAGAAGAAATTCCCCAATACCGGATTCAAGCAGGGGTACGGCATGACTGAGTCGTGTTCGGCAATCACGTCTCATCCTCCATCCAAATATGCATACAAGTATGCTGATAAAGTGGGCATGCTGGTCGGCTCCACTAGTGTTAAGATCGTAGACCCGATTTCACTGAAAGAGTGCAGTGTGGGCACAGCTGGAGAGATCTGGGCCCGTGGGCCTCAAGTGGCAATGGGGTATTTGAACAATCCTTCTGCGTCAGCGGAGACATTCGACAAAGATGGGTTCCTCCATACTGGAGATATCGGGTATATCGATGAGGAGGGCTTGTTGTCGATTACAGACAGGATGAAAGAGATGATCAAGGTCAAAGGCATCGGTGTTGCGCCTGCTGAGCTGGAGAACTTGTTGCTTGGTCACCCGGCGGTCAATGATGTGGCAGTGACCGGCATTCCAGATGATCGCGCTGGTGAAAGACCGAAAGCGTTTGTTGTGCTCAGGACAGGAGATAGGCGGGATCCCGTAAAGGCGGGTAGGATGATCATCGAGTATGTCAAGGAAAAGAGGGCAAGACACAAATGGATTGCTGAGGTGGAGATTACGGATAGTATACCAAAGAGCCCGGCGGGTAAGATCCTGAGGAGAAAGTTGAGAGAAAAGGCTGCGGGGGGCAACCGCAACGTTGTTATTCGTGATGTTGCTACCAAAGCTAAGTTGTAAACGCTACTCCTGTCGTTACATGCAAGCACTGTCTGTTACTCGAAGCTATCAATCGGCATGGAGCTTGTATTTTTCGACACGTCCACAAGTATTCTTGTTCCATAGCGCACGTTGCATCCTGTCCTTTGCTCAGCGTAAGGTTCAAAGCTTAATAATCATGGTGTTGATAGTGGAAGGCAGGAACAGGTGCAGAGGGAACTTAGCTGAGCCGGTGCGTTCGGCCGGATGCCGGAAGAAAAGGTGGGGCGTGGGCCTGCCTAGTTCGCTTCCCCGCATTCAACTTTTCTGCGCACATCCCTCGGGCTCAGGCTTGATCCCTGCTCTCACTTGCCGTGCCCGACCGCCCCACGCTCGCTTATGATGGCTGTGACCGGCAGCGCTAGACACGACTGCTGTCGGTCCGCTATGCCTGCATCCTGATTGCGGATACGGTCACCCTCTCCGCATTTCGATCACAAATGGCGCAATGCCAGCAGTCCCAGCCATGGCAGACCAAAATACGAACAACAATGCAGAGTCCACGACAGGTCTTCAAGGCCGGCCGAAGAAGCGAGCCAGGGTCATCTCTGGCTTGACGGAAGAGCAGCTCCAGCGCAAACGAAACGTTGATCGCAAGGCTCAGCGTGCTTTCCGACAGCGCACGAAAGACAGCATCGAGAAGCTCGAGCAGCAGCTCGCGTCAATCAATCAGAAAGCCGCTGAGAGCGATGCAAAATTCCAGCAGGAGCTTGCGGCCGTCCACAAGAACAATCAGACGTTGCAGCAGTGCCTTGAGCGCATCTCCGAGCTAGCCTCAGCTACAATCCGCGCAATCGCCCACGGTCACGACACTGAGTATGATCGGGCCTCCGGTCGCAGCCCCGTACACAGCACGGTTGCACATTCAGGCGACGCCAGCCATCAAAACAAATCGGCCACAGGCTCCAACCAACCACACAATGCTGCACCGAATGCATCACAACCCATAACTCCTGTGACCTTAGAGAACGACAGCTCAAGTTGCAACGTCCCAAACGATATGCATTACGAGGTCGAGGGGTCTCCTAGCATGCTACCTATCGACATGACACCTCCCAATCAGCCACAACCCTCTGTACACCCTTTCGATCTTTTGCAGGAACAGCAATCAATATCGCCGCAAGCCCATGACTCTGTTGGTGAGCCCATGTCGCCCATGTATGACCAGGGCGAACCGTCTCATCATATCAGGCCTGCATCGCTCGCTGGTACAGGCTCGAGCTGCGTCTCATCATCTGCAGGCCAACAATATGCGACTATCGACCCGGGTCTGGAGGAGAGGAGTCCGAATCAATATGATCTTGCACGACCCGCACATCATGATCTGTGCAACGGTATGCAGGTGAGCCCTCATGCCGCCGATTCGGCGCCGACTGCCAGTTCAATACAGAGCTTGCGCTCAGATCCAGTATCCATAGTTCTACCTTCGCATGTACTACCGACATGTCCTTTGGATGAGATACTACATAACTTCTTAATAAGTCGGAGAGACCTGCTTACACACGGTATGGATGTTGATGCTGCTGCTGGACCCTTGCGTCCAACAGTCAAAGCACTGCTCGATCCTCATATGACCAATGACGTCCACCCTCTCAGTGGCATAATGTCGGGAGTTTTGACGACATTTGCACACGTCGAACAGCCGGAGAAACTTGCTTTCTATTACTTGATGTACAAGACAATGCGGGTAGGTTGCATTCCACATTCGAACAGTGAATGCATGCTTATGTGCAATAGTGGCAAATTGCGCCTTCTAAAGAAACTTACAGGGCTATGCCCACATGGCTTAGACCGACCGTCACACAGATCACAGTGCAGCACGCTGCCTGGATAGACAACATTCCGTGGTACGAACCCTAACCCACCACACATATGCACCTAGCTCACATGTGCTTTAGGCCTGGTGTGCGTGACATTCTAATCGAGAACCCTGACGATCATCCCTTCGATTTGTTTTCGCAGTATTACTCACACAATATCAGTGTGAATTGGCCTTTTGACCATATGGACGCTGTCACTGATGTGGACAACAATGTCGTGCTGCATTCCATCTTCGAAAAACACGTATCCAATCTAAAGAATTGGACAGTGTCGGCAGAGTTCCATTCCCGGTTTCCGTACATGTCCTCTGCAATATACTCAAGAGATTGACGGCGACTGGCGGTCGTCCGCAAACATTGCTCTGAAAGTTTGTCAGTTGCCTGACAACGGTAACATGACCCTGCGGAGTGTTCTCAGTGTTTTCTCGGACCGTGTCAGTACCCTAGCTCAACCCCGTCTCACGAAAGTCTTGGCACTATTCGGTACCCCCTCCGCACACTTCCGCATGACTCATGATTGCCAATCTGGAGGTGGGCTCAGAGGCTTATACAAAACTCTACAAGGATATTCCGTACTATGCGAGTAATTGAACATCTTGCAGCACTTGATCCACGATTGGAACGAGTGCATTGGACCATCTGACAACCCGCGATTGTTCTAATACCTGTATGCATCTTCGAGACGTGAAAGTTGAATCCAACAGCAAAAATATCAATATGTCGTCTGCGCAATATCATCAGAGTGCCCTTGGCTCGGTAAGTCGTTTCGAAGATGTAAGTTAAAGCCCACTGATACAGTGAACAGCTCAAGAACCCCAGATTGTTCATCTCAGAAGCTCTCATCAACGGACGATGGGTAAAGAAGGATTCGACTTTTGATGTGATCGGTGAGCAATGCCACATCTCACAATCTCTACATTGCGATCACGAGCTAAGCTCACGACAGAACCATCCACAGCAACTGTGCTTGGCAAGGTTTCGAACTGTGGGTTGGAGGACTTCCAAGAGGCCATTGCCAGCGCAGAAACAGCTGGGGAGGAGTTCTACCGCAGCACGACAGCCCACCAGAAGAGCGCGCTGCTGAGAAAGTGGTACGAACTGATCACTGCCAATGAGGAAGATAGTGAGTATCTCGAAGTGTAAGATTCCATTTATCAACTAATCGTGGATAGTCGGGACAATTCTCTCTCTTGAGAACGGAAAGACCCTCTCCGAAGCGGTTGGCGAAGTGCGCTATGCAGCCTCGTTCGTGAATTGGTTTGCTGAAGAAGCGCCTCGAGCCTATGGCGACACGATCCCCTCAGCGAGCCCGCATACCAACGTGTTGACCTTCAGAGAGCCGGTAGGCGTCTGCGGCATCATTACACCATGGAACTTCCCTGCAGCCATGATCACGCGCAAAATTGCGCCCGCCTTCGCTGCAGGCTGCTCTGTCGTTGTAAAGCCCCCAAGTGAGACACCATACACTTGTGCTGCTCTTGCGAAACTAGCCATTGACGCTGGGCTGCCGCCAAAGATCTTCCAAGTACTTCCAACAAAGGATTGCTCTGCCGCGACTGAGCTTTGTACGAATCCCATTGTGAAGAAGATCTCGTTCACCGGATCAACAGGCGTGGGAAAGATGCTGGCAATGGGCACGATGAAACGCGTCAGTTTAGAGTTGGGAGGTAATGCACCGTTCATTGTCTTCGAAGATGCAGATCTCGATCTTGCTGTCGAAGGCGCCATGTTCTGCAAGTTCCGCTGCACAGGACAGACATGCGTTTGGTAAGTTCTTATTTTCTCCCATCAATCAAACTGTCGCACAATCCAACAGGTCAACGTAGTGCGAACCGAATTCTCGTTCATCAAAGCATCGCCAAAGAATTTGGCGAGAAGCTAGTTAGCAAAGTGGCCGCCCTACAAGTCGGCCCTGGACTCGACCCAAAGACGACCCAAGGCCCCGTGGTCAACCAATCCAGCGTTGACAAAGTGACTTCACATATCTCTGACGCAGTCTCCAAAGGCGCAGAAATCCTCATTGGCGGCGCTCCCGTTGCGCCTGGATTTTTCTTCCAACCAACCGTTCTATCTGGAGTGCCCCGCGATGCTCTCGTAGCGACTGACGAAACCTTCGGCCCTCTTGCCCCCATCTTTACTTTTAGCGACGAAGAAGATGCGCTGAAGCTCGCCAATGCCACCGATCTCGGCCTGGCTGGTTACTTCTTCTCGAGGGATGTCAGCCGCGTTATGAGAGTGGCGGCGAGGTTGAAGGTCGGTATGGTTGGTGTCAACACGGGCAAGATCTCGGCAGCTGAGGCGCCATTCGGAGGCGTGGGTAATAGTGGCTTTGGTCGCGAGGGCAGCAAGTATGGGCTTGCGGAGTACCAGAACATTAAGGCTGTGACGATCGGAAATTTTGGGCTATAGACGGGCGGAAGATCAAGAAAGCTCAGGAACTTGAGTGTTGAATAAATTTTATACCATGTGGACCCAATTTGCAAGGTTCAAGACTGTCTGGTACTATCCTTCCTTTGATTGAGCCTGGTCACTTTTCTGAGACCGTTCCACTGCACGAGTAAAACGAGTACCGTTAACTATTGGCGACTAAGCAGGATCGCAGCGGTATCTTGGCATGGAGCAAGACTTGTTGCCACTTTCGAGAACTGTAGGTTCATGTAATTTTCCTAATAAACTTTGCCGCGAGGAACATTCTATCTCAGATAGCTAGGTACGGCCTCCACATTCTCATAATCAGTGCTAGCTGCAAAGTTACCCCATACTTTGAGATGTTGCAGCGTCTGCTCGCACTTCGTCTGCATGACCTGTATTGCATCGGTCCCAAGTGGTATACGTAACGAGTCTAACCCCTGCTGTTCGGCTTCACTCAAGTTTTCGATTCTGCCAATATCTACCACCTTCTCTGCTGCGGCATGTGGATCTCCGGGTTGCTTGCCATGAGTTTCCTTGTGACGAATGGCCATTTCGGTCTTGACGGGATCATAGTCGACTAAGCCGGTCGTCGAGCACAACGGCCCTGCTTGACGCATCGAGGAGAGAATGTTGGTGCGAAATTGGCCGAGGACAAGGATGTGTGTGCGGATATTCAGATGGGCTGTCTCTCTTGCCAGAGACTCTGCGGCTCCTGAACGACTTTAGCTGTTTGCTCAAAAAAATGCTTCGAGCTAGCATGTTGGAGCGCTCACCTTCGATTGCGAACTTTGACGCGCTGTACGGCGATCCAGCTCCTACGCCGTACCACCCAGATATACTACCCATGAATAAGATAACGCCCGAGCGAGCCCTGCGCATGTACGGTAGTATAGAACGGGTCACTGATATAGCACCGAAGAAGTTCGTGTTCATCTGATTCCTTAGTTCTTCATCGCTATCAGACACGTGCCAGGGTTAGCCGATCTCCATCATCAAGTTACGCAGACAACACCGAAGATGAAACAAATGGGACCACATGTTCTGCATCCAGTAACCACATACCTGATCTGCTCCAGAACTCCCGACAAAACGTAGCCAGCGTTGTTGACCAAAACGTCGATGTGTCCAAAATGCTTGATCGCTTTGTCAATGTTCTCCTGGATCTGTTCGCTCGAGACTGTTACATCGAGCGTGATACAGTGCGCCCGATCAGTGCCGCCAGGTTGATCTTTAATGTAGTCTAAATCCGACAGCTGGCGTGCTGTAGCAATGATCTTGTCGCCACGGGCAAGCACTGCGCGAGCGATGTGCTGTCCAAGCCCGGAAGAACAGCCAGTCACGAGCCACACTCTGGGCTGTGCTGATGTGTTTGTTGAATTTGATTGTGCCATTGAGGGAGTGAAAAATGCTATGCGGGCTCGTTCATTACAGCTTGAGACGTTGTTGATGTGCACGACGAGCTACAAAATACTGCATGTGATGACAGTCTAGAACACGAACAATTGGCATGGTTGATCACTCAGGATTTCAGATAAGTCCATTGCTTCCTGTTCCCCTCGACAGGCGGGGAGCCAAGGGCGGGGACGAGCTACTCCAGATCTAGCATAGTGCAAGCCACGCTGCTGCCATCGAACATTACTCAGTTCCTCAACCGTGCAAACCAAGGTGCCCCACCAATGGCGACCTGTTAGTGCGCCGAACAGATTGTCATGTCCATCGCTCTCCGAAATTGTTGCTACAGGTTAATGATGACAGTCGCACATATCCAGGAGAACCTCACAATGCCGCCGGACGAGCATTCTACAACCGCAAGTCAAGCACTCACGTGATGCTGCAATATGGGGATTTTCGCATCGCGAAACTCCGCGACCATCCAACGGGTCACCCAATCAGAAGGAGACGGCCTCATAGAAGAGCATATTACATGGAACCATGGCTGTTGAGATCCAATGGGTAAGGCGAAATGGTCTTCCAGAGATATGTGCGCTGATCTTGAGAAAGGAGACAGCAGCCGCCACTGCACGTTGCTGCCGATGAATGGGCGGCGACACTGGATGACGCAGGCGGGGCGTTCGCTTTCGAAAATAATCTAGACCTGTTCATTTCCGAGGCACGCACCGGCCAGCAAACTTGGTCTGCCGCAACCACGGAAGGCACAGATCCCTCTTGTCCATCCCGTATCGCAGCTTCCGGCGACACGCGGATCTGGCATCGGAAAGTCGAAGATTGGGTCCGGTCATTGCATCCTCCGGAAGCAACATCGAGGGCGCTGCAAACACCCATGCTGCGACGCCGAACGGACCTAGTAGAGGCACTGATGAGCCATGGCATCCTCCGGGACAACGACATGCGGGTTCTATCCGAAAACGGACACAGCCTTTCGATGACTCAATCTCATTCAGCATCACCTACGTCGCCAGTATATGTCGACAGTGTTGGTGAAGCGTCTCCGCAATCAACATCCGATGATAGTGCCATCGGGAGGCAGGACGCGAGTACCGCAGGGAGTAACACTGATCTTGGGTTTCTTATTGAGACAGATGAGCAGTAAAACCCAAAATGATCCATGTGTTGACGATCAACTTTTGACGATAGAATGCTTTGACTCGGTACAATTGTGATAAACATCGATTTTGGCTTCGTAGCTTTAAGGGAATGGATAGAAACAGTAAAAAAGAATTTTTGATTTGCAAATGCTATGTACAATCTGGATCTAAGCTGCAGCTTTGTTAAACTGAGGGCTGAATTCGTAATCAATGTATCCTTCCGGCTTCTTCGGTGTGTAGAACGTGTCGCGGTTGTACTGATTCAGTTCCAGCCCCTCCTTAACTCTGAAAGGCAGATCTGGAGTCGCGATGAAGAGGCGACCGAATACAATATGACGACAAGGGGGGGTGGAAAAGTGGGCAGCAATGGGGCCTCTGAAGAATTCGAAACTTCATTCTTGGAGGCTTTCGTGCCTGCATTGCCTCATCTTGCAGCCAAACGCATCAAGGTAGCCGTCAATGCCGGCGCTAGCGACACAAAAAAGCTATACGAGGTTGTGGTCAATAAGGTTCGGGAGGCTGGTCTGGACCTCAAAGTAGCCTGGGTTGGAGGTGACGAGGTCTTTGATGTCGTGTCAAAAGCAATGGACAGTGGGTCCGAGTTCAAGAGCTTGACCACAGGTATACTTTACGAATGCGATGCATGCAATATCTATTTCTGACATTTTGCAGGAAATAAACTGTCTGAGTGGGAGAACAAGCCAATCTATGCCCAATGTTATCTCGGAGGTTTTGGAGTCGCAGAGGCCCTCAAGCATGGTGCGGACATTGTACTCTGCGGACGTGTAGCTGATGCCTCCCCAACGATTGGCTGCGCGGCCTATCACTTCGGCTGGTCTCAGCAGAGCTACAGAGAGCTTGCTCATGCATTTGTTGCTGGTCACTTTATCGAGTGCTCAACATATGTGACAGGCGGAAATTTCACTGGCTTCAAGGATCTACCTGGCGAATCACTCAACCTTGGATTTCCCATTATTGAGATGAAAGAGAATGCCGAATTCATTGTGACGAAACAAAAGAACCGCGACGGAATAGTGACCGTCGATACCTGCAAAGCTCAGCTGCTGTATGAGATTCAAGGGCCATACTACTACAACTCCGACGTTGTAGCCATCTTGGACAAGATCCGGATCACGCAAGTAGGCAAAGACCGAGTGTGAGTATCTGCTCAAACCAACATAGACAACGACATTCGCTGACCGCCATTACAGACACGTTAGCAACGCGGGCAGCATCAAGCCTCCACCGACCACAAAGGTTGGACTCACGGCGAAGGGCGGATATCAGGCTGAAGCGCACTACTTCCTATGTGGTCTTGACATTGAAGAAAAGGCAGCGATGCTTGAGCGTCAAGTGCGTGTGGCCCTCGACGAGTCGAAGTATCATTGTCTGAAGTTCCGAGCCAACGGTCGTTGTCCCGAAAACCCTAACACACAAGATGCAGCAACCGTAGACTTGCGAGTCTTTGCGCAGTCCAAAGAGGAACCTGCTCTGGCTACTGCGAACTTCTTCCGCCCGGTCACAGACACAATCATGCAAAGCTACCCAGGTGCTACCTTTGCAGTAGATGCCCGACAAGCTGTCCCCAAGGAATACTACGAATACTGGGTCGCACTTTTGCCACAGAAAAGCATCAAGCACACTTGCTATATTCCGTTCAAGGGGCTAGAAATCCCTATCCCCGCACCAACCGACACACAAGATTTCCTCTACGAACAAGATACATATGAAACCAACGACCCGATTGATCTCAGCTCCCTGGGTCCCACAACCAGAGCGCCTCTGGGATACATCGTGCATGCAAGATCTGGCGACAAGGGTTCAGACTGCAATGTTGGTTTCTTCGTCCGTAACGCTGATGAATGGGACTGGCTACGAAGTCTTTTGACGGTGGACAAGGTACGAGAGCTGTTGGGTGGAGATGATACTGGAAAGCCTATCTTCCGATTCGAGCTACCCAATATCTGGGGTAAGTCCGATGACATGACGATCATTACGAACAGCAAAGCTAACAGATTTCCAGCTGTACACTTCTTGCTCAAAGATCATCTTGATCGCGGTGTTGCTTCTAGCTCTACCTACGACGTCCTGGGCAAGAATATGGCGGAGTATCTGAGATGCAAGTTGGTCGACATCCCGACACGATATTTGGAGCGCGGAAGAATTTAGTTACATCGATACTGTGACGTCTTCTGCAAAATCGTTAAATAGTCGGGACCTTAGCTAGACTGAATACAAATAAGATCTTCCAACGCTGTACTAATGCTTCCGTGCTTTCGTTGAACTAGGGTCTGCAATAGCTACGATGATGGTAATCGGATCCATGATGATGTCTAGGGCAGTCGGAGCAATACATCCAATTTCCCCATGAGCATAATACCCATGTGCTGTATATTGGCTTTACTGACGAGCTTAAATTTCTGCAATGCTTCACAGCCTCGTTGTCCCTGTCAGTTGGGAACGCAACCTGGAATTGGATGCGGCGGTGGGGTCATGCGAGCTAAGTTACCGGTACCCGTGACCCCGGCTGGCGCAGAGTACCCCGCTCTTTTGTACGGCCACTTTTGCGGTTGGTCATGTCCGAACTTTGCTCGAAGATCCGCTTTGTCATTGCACATGTCAGTTCAACGTATGGGCTACATGATCTCGATTTGTCAGTCTATTTGCCGACATCCTTTAGAATTCTGTAGTTACTGAGTGTTGGTCCTTGTGATCCCCTTCCATGCCCATTTTTGCTAGTCTACGCTTCTGTGGTATTCTTACTACAATTTACTTTTAACTCCTGCCGTACGCGTCTGTTTCCTGTCTTACAAACCACCCGACATCGCACATTGCGCTTTCACTCTCTTCTGCACCTGTCACATATAATCACTATGGGTTCCTTCGAAGTCGAAACTATGCTGGCTGCGCAGTACAACGTGGTTAGCAGCATCCACACCTTACAGTTGTGCTTATCATGAAGAAGCTCACGACTTACATTAGCATACGAACGATGTCGAGATCAACAGAGTACCCATCCCAAAATGTGGTGATAACGAGATCCTCATCAAGACCAAATGCGCTTCGTTGTGTCACTCCGACCTGGTACGTCATGTCTCAAATAAAATCCATAAAAGTTGCCGCATCGCCTAACACTTCACACAATGCAGATGTTATTCTGGGGCCACACAGCGGAGAAACCACCAACGGACAAGATAACGATCGGGCACGAAAACACAGGACACGTTGTAGCCAAAGGCCGTAACGTTACAGGCTTTGAAATTGGTGATCCAGTGGGTTGCTTGGGTTGCAGTTATGCTTGCTGTAAGTGAGCGTGCAGCTCTGGTGCGGAAGGATTTGACTGATCATTACAGACAAGTGTGAGGGTTGCCAGGTACACAATCTTTGGTGTGAGCAAGGCACCGGACGGCTCCATGGCTTTACGTGCCCTGGACACTTTGCAGAATACTCACTAGCGGATGCTCGTAATGCTATGGTCCTGCCAAACGATATGGACATGGTAACAGCTGCGCCACTATTCTGCGCTGGAATCACAGGTATCATTTAATTTCCCCAAATGAAAAACTTTACTGATCAAAGCATAGCATATCATGCTGTCAGGGGCTGCGACTTACAACCTGGGCAGTGGTTAGCCATTGTTGGTTGCGGTGGCCTTGGGCATCTCGGTAATTCCTTCCACAGCATGCCCTGTGAATTCAATCACTGATGAAAGACCTAGCCATTCAGTACGCCAAAGCAATGGGTTATAAAGTCATTGGTATAGACATCTCGAAGGCGCAGCTGGACGCAGCGGAAATAGCTGGTGCCGACTTCGTCATCAACACCACGATGGATCTTGAATTCGAGGCTAAGATCAAGAAAATCACGAACGGCGGGTGCCATGCAACTGCTGTCTTCAGTGCCTCGAACATTGCTTACGAGAGTGCCCCAAAGACTTTGAGGTAACGTCTAAGCTTATGACATCAACGCGTAAACATCGTACTGACCTACTTCTAGAATCAACGGGCTTCTGATGATTGCAGGCATTCCCAAGAGACCATTATCAATCAGTGCCCTCGATATCTTGCTTGGAAAATACCGCATCGGTGGAAGGAGCAGTGGCATTCCTCAGAAGATGCCTGAGGCAATCGAATTCAGCCACAAGCACGGAATAAAGTCGCATATGACAACTTCGACAAGGATAGAGGATATTCACGAGGCTATTGAGCAGATGAAGACAGGGAAAGCATCTGGACGATTTGGCATTGTTTTTGAGTAGTGCATGACGTTGAGATTGAACGGACCTGATTTTGACAAGACTTTATGCCTACCATCGTGAATTGTAGCCTGCAAATACACATACTGAACTCTACGCATGTTACAGACTTTGTGCAAGGGCAGGTGTGCAGCTTAATTAGCCCGCCAATATGAAGACTAATGTTATCCTTCCTGCTCTCTCCTGATGATCGGTTGCTATCAACATCGTCGCTCTACCTTATGCGCGCTCTGATTGACCTATCGTTCGTCTTGCCCTTCGCCCCACAGGCGATGTAACATGTCTCGAATTCCCCAAAACACAACCCCGCAAGTCAAATTTCCCCAGATCCGCTCTACAATCATGGACTTCATCTTGGACCTTCTACCGGGCGCCTAGAGCGATGCTATGGCATGACTCAGTTCTGGGTCAGAAGCTAGTCCTCAGCTTCGTGCCAATCACGTCCCAACGAAACTATGGTGGAAAGGAAACATCATTAGTCATGTCTGGCTACCAGCAAGTCTCCGCGATAACCTTGATCCGGGGAACGGGGTATGGAGACCGATCTCAACTCCCAGTGTCCGCATGGGGCTCTCACAAGGGCTAGCGCATAGCGTGCAGAGTGTCTACTTCGGTCGACCTGCCGTCAACGCCAAAACGAGCGAGGTAACGCAGATAAAGGAGATATCGACGTCCCGATCTTTCAACAACGGCTTCATACACTGTTTTGTAGCCACAATCACGATGGTTAACCTCTAGTTTCTCAGAGGCAAAAGCCTACGGTGGAGTATTACTGCCAGCGCCGGCAGCTGCTACCTTCTCTTCGGTTACGATCAGGTAAGTAACCAGCTTCACTTCTAAGAGGCCAAAGGATCAGAATTAATTCTATCACACTCGCAGGGTGTATTAGGCGGTCTGGTTACAGATCTGACCTTCCTTGCAGCAATTAGTTATCTAAGTGCTAGTTTCCTTAGTACTATTATTACTTTATATAACATTAGTTGTCTAGTAGAATATATTATAGCTACGCTATTTAGTAATATACTTAGTTAATATAAGACTATCTTGTATAGATATATTATTATAGTTATTAGTACTATTATTTAGATAGATATATATAGATCTATATAACTAATTATTAGATATTTAATCTCTAGTTTAGGGAATAGTAAGTAGGCTACTACTAAAGAACGTGCCTTTCTATATTATAAAATAATTAGTTAATATAGAGTTATTATAGGTATAAATATATCTATAATCTTAATATATATATTTAAGTACTTACCTACTAAATACTATAGCTACTCTATTATAATTTAGCTTTCTATTATTATTATAAATACCTATATAAGTATTTACTAGTAAGATACTTATAAAACTTTAGTTTAGTACTATTATAGCCTACTAGCTTAACTATAGTACTATTAAGAACCTAATAGGTATAGTTAGTAAAATCTCTAGCTAAAAAAAGTTAAGATATCTAAAGTAATTATCTCTATATAGGTTCTATAGTACTTTTTAATTACTTTCTAGAATATTTTTATATTATTTACTATTTTTACTCTTTAGTTCTTTTTTAAGATATTCTAGTAAGTTATATATCTCTTTTAAGTTCTACTATATAGTTAGACTTACTTACTAATAAAAGATTAAATAGCTCTACTTATATAACTATAAAGCTAATAAAGTTAAAGTTTTTACTTATTTATAAGAAACTAGTACCTTTAACTCTATAGTTCTATAGATTAAAAATAAAATAGCTTTAGGTTTATATTTTAAAATAAAAAGTATTAAGTTCTTCTTTTATAACTTAAGTAATAACTATATATCTATTAAGAATACTTACTACCTAGTTATTTACTTTATAATTTAGTTCTAGTAGTAGTTTACTAGAATTAATATTATTATATTTTTTATTATAATTATACTAGAGTAGAATATTAAATTAATATATTAGATAAGTAGTTAAGTTATAGAATAAATTTAGATTACCTTATAGCTTAGAATATTTCTATCTATCTTTTTCCTAGATAAGTAAAGTTAATATTTAATCTTACTAGGTAGTTTAATTATACTATTAACTATAATAGTAATATTTATAGTAGAGATTATAGTAAATATATCTATAATAGTAAATATAGCACTTATAATACTATTTTTATATAAGATTTTATTTAGTATAAGTTAGAATACTATTTCTTAGCTTTAGACTCTAGAGATTACTCTAATATAATTAAAGTATATTAAAGCTATAGTTAGTATATTCTTAGAGTAGCTATAAACCTTTTTAAGTTCTTAAAATAGAATTAATATATAGTATAAATAAAATTCTAGTTCTATAGATTATGTTATAATCCTATAAAGGAGTATAGTATAGTATAATAAGTAACTAACTAGGTTCTATCTAGGTTATAGGGGTATAGCAAGTAGGACTTATAATTATAGTTATATAACTTACTTATTAATAAGTAAGTATATAGACTACTACTTATTAATAAGTATAGTATAACTCTACTTATTAATAAGTACTCTTATTACCTTTTATTAGATACTTATTAGTTACTTATTTATAAGCAAACCTTAGTATTAGTATATAGTAAGTAGGAATATAACCCTTATAGTTTATATTTAACCTAAGTATTAATCTATAATATTAGATCTTAACTTAACCTTTAAGCTAGATAGTCTACTCTATACTACTTATTATTACCTCTTACCCTTAAAATAGATAGATTATATCTATACTTCTTAGTATAAGACCTCTTTAGTTTCTCTAATAGTATTTATCCCTAAGAACTAATTAAATAGTGCTTATAAGCTTTGCTTAAAGTATAACCTTAATATTTTAAATACTCTTAAGATATTTACTACCTTAGGAAACTAGGCTACCTCTAGCTTAGTGTCTAATAATATAGATATAGCTAATAATAGTACTATCTACTAGAGTAATATTATAGTTAATAAACCTAATCTTTACTTTAGTAAATAAAGTAAGCTTAATAATTAGCTTATATAATAGAACTTACTCTTCTTATTCTAGGGCAAGTATATCAAGGAGATTAATAGAGTTATACTTACTAGTAGCTATATATATAGTATAGTATTTAAATAGATTAAACCCTTTATATAATAGTATAACGTAGGTAAAGCTCCAGACAAAGTAGATGTCTAGATAAATAACTTTAATACTTTTAAGATATAAGTTAAAGCTATATTTAGAGTATTTAATAAAGTCTCTAGTACTAGATATAAGATCTAATATATTAAATAAATTAACTTAGCTACTAACTATACTATAGAGTTTAAATAACTTACTATATATACTAACTAGAATAATACTATACTTATAACTATGTTTAGATTAGGCCTTAAACTAAAGATTAAAGAAGAGCTAATATATACTAGCACTAGTACTAATACCTTGTCTAAGCTAGTAAACACTATAATTAATATTAATATTAAGCTATATAAGCTATAATAAGAATTATAAGATAACTTCTAAGTATAAGCTACTAATTCTATACTATATACTTTTAGGAACCTATAGAAGAATAATATCTAATAAGAATAGTATAGAGGCTATTACTAGCCTAATATATTATAATAAGTCTATACTAGAACTAATATAGGTTACTATAGTACTTAGGCTATAGACCTCTCTAATATTAATAAAGAACCTAAATAGTAGAGTATAAAGAATAAGAGTAGTTTTAGAACTTATAAGCTTCTAATAACTTACTATAGCTATAGTAAAATAGGCTACTTTACTAGAGACTATTATAGTAAGAATAAGGTTATATAATAGCTTAATATAATATCTAGTAAGGTTAGACCTACTAATACTAGTAATTAGAAAATAATTACTAATAATATAGAATATTTTATAGAAGATCTAGAAATAGAACCTAAGATAGATAATAAATATATTAAACCTAATAAGAACTAATAAAGTATCTAAAGTAGTATACCTATACTATACTAGTATAATAAACTAAATAAATCTACTAAATACTTAGAGTATTATAACTAGATACTCTAGGTCTTAGACTAATAACTAGAGGTTAAACACTAGGCTAATTTAATATAATACCTAAGCAATAAATATATAGTATAATAATAAAGAATATATATAATAATATGTATAGAATAATAATATACTTAATATTATAGATAATAAACTAGTAGTAGCTTATATTTAGTTACTAAAGTTACTATAGAAATATAATAATAGTAAGACACTAGCTATAGTAATATTAGACCTATAGGTTTATAAAAACTATAAAAATATATTAGTATCTATCTATAAACTTCTAAAGAAACCTAAAAAGTAGTATAATAAATAGTTCATAGACTATTAATAAAATAACTATATAACTATTAAGATACTATAATAAGCTAGTAAAAACATTCTAGTATAGAATAAATTTAACTTTAGGTAAATGCCTATATAATAAGGAATAATACCTTAGTACCTAATATATATAAGAAACTTACTTTACTATACTATTTTATAGATAGCCTATAGTACTAACTTATATATAGTATACTATAAGAATAAGATAAATAGTAGCTAGTTCCCTAGTATTAAATACTACTATTATAATAAATAGTATAAATATAAAGATAATATATTTAAAGTTTACTTATAGAATAAGTAAGAATAATACTACTTTCTAGAAGAAAAAGATACTTAGTATATATATATTAAATAGTTACTTATTAATAATTACTACTTAAACCTATATTAGTAATAATATCTATATAAAGACTATAAGAGCTATAAAGAGGCTAAGAAGTAGCAAGAATTTCTTAAATATAAAGAAGTATTAGATAGTAAGAATAAGTCTTTTTTAGACTAGTATAAATAATATATACTAGAGATTAATCTATTAATATTATTAGAACTAATTACTTTATTATACTCTTTATTAAATTAGAAAGAGTATAGATATAGGTACTACTAGACTATAAATTATAGTTATTATAGCAAGTTACTAATTAATAACCCTCTAGGAGTATAGAGAAGGTTTAGATTACCTAACCTTAATTACCTCTACTGTATAATAATTATAGAACAGAGTAATCTCTAATTAGCTTAGTATTTTAGCCTAATTAAGCTCTAGAATAAGGTATATATTTAAGTAGTTATAACACCTTAGAGAAGATAGAGAACCTAATTAATTTACTTAATTACTTATTCTATATCTATTAATTAATTTAGTTACTTATAATTCTTAATTAATAATAACAGTCTAATTATATCTCTTTATAAGCAATATAGCTAGCTAGACTATGCCCTACTTAGAAGATAGAACCTTACCTACTATAAGTAGCTAATAGAGAACCTATACCTAAGGAATTAGAAATAACCTATAAGGTATTATCTATTCTAATAACTATCTAAGAATACTATAAGAAAATAACTCTAGATACTTTTAAAATAGCTACTTATAATATTATTTTAGAAATCCTCTAGTTATAAAAGTATAACCTATAGATAGATTAAGTACTTAAGAAGCTTTTACTAAAGTACTATAAATATAGTATAATATAGTTAGAACCTATATAGACTATAATATAACTAGTAGATAAGAAAATAATTAGTAATATTACTTTAATTAAGATATGCTAAGATAAAGTAGTTAACTATATAGAGAGTAATTAGCTTTAGCCTTATAAAGTAGTAGTTAAAAAGAAATATATAACTCCTAGTATCCTAGATATATATTAATAATATATATAGATATTTAAAGAAGAGCTTATAGTAAAAGCCTTACCTAAGTATAAACTCTAAGATTATAAGATTAAGCTCTAGGAAGGAAAGTAACTAACTTTTAGGCTACTATACTAGTTATTAGAGAAGGAACTTAGTATACTACGCAAGTATATTTAAGAGAACTTTAAGAAAAGATTTATTAGAAGATTTAAATTGCCTATAAGGTACCTTATTATATTTATACTAAAGAAAAATAGTAAGCTATAGCCTTATATTAACTTTAGAAAGCTTAATAAAATTATAATTAAAAACTACTATCTATAAGAATTAACTACTAAAATCTTAAATCTTATAAATATGATACTACTTAACTTAAATAACATCTAACTTAGCTCTAGCTTAATCTTGAGTTAAGCCTTAGATATATCTATAGCTATCTAGAACTAACTTCTCTTTAACTTAGTTATAACTTACCCTTATTACTATCTCTTATCTATCTATAGCTAACTAAGACTTATAGGTATAAAAGGTAGGCTTATAGTAGTCTTAGGATAGATAGTTTTTAAGTATTCTTTATATAAGACCTATAGGAATAAGATTCTCCCTAGTTATTAACTTTCCTAGTGCTCCTATATACCTTATAGTAGAATTAGAACTATATTAGAAGGTCTTATTACCTATATTATTATAATTAGAGAGTCTTATTACCTATATTAATATAACTATTATATAGTAGCCTACTAATTAGGTTATTTAGCTCTAGAAGAGAGATAATATTAGCCCTATAGGCTAATATTAGAGTTAGCTATAGGTAGTAGAGCCTAGTATATATACTTAAGGCACTTTACTCTATTCTTACTTAGTAGTAAATAGTCTATAGTCTACTAATATAACCTATAGCTACCTACTTAATATTATTTAATATATTTATATAATACTATCTTCTCTCCTATAAACTAGGTATATAGGTTCTAATAGTATAGAATATTTTTTTTTCAATAGCTTATTATAACTTATTTTTAAGCTATAGCTTTATATTATATACTTACTTTTTATATTTTATTTTAATAAAGTATTAAAGCTTAATACTAAATAACTAATAGTTTACTATAGTATATATAAAGTATTTTTAAAAAAGTAAAATAATATTTTAAATTTTCTTTTTTTAGCTTATATAAATAATACTTACTTATATATAAACTTAGATTATATACTTAAGTAGTTTAACTAGTTATTAAATTTTTTTAGTTTTTTCTTTATAAGTACTTTTTAGTACTATTTTTTACTAAATTATTACTTTTTAAACAACTATAATAAATAATAACTATTTCTATATTACTAAAATTAATAATTAGTATTTTAAATTAATATTATAAACTAATATAGATTTTTATACTAAACTACTCTATCTAGTTAGTAAAAGACTTGTTCTATAAGTTTATTTTAGGTCTAGCTAAGTGCTAAAACCTACACCTAGTTAATGCTATTAGCTAGTAGGATACCCCCTCTATAGAACTCTAGGTTGTCCTAAGCTGCACCGGCCGTCTGGATTGTGTTTAGACTCGCGGCTGCAAGACATTTAGGCGGCACGTGCATTTAGACCTCCGTGCCGAGAGGCATGGTCCACTGGAAGTCTTGTTTGCCGTCGTCGTCGGGGCGGGCTGAGGGAACAGTCAACCTGGAAGAAGTGGTGAGATGATGTTGTAGAGTTCTCTACACATTCTTGTGAGCGCATCGCAGCTCGTGGAAGGCGCCAGTGAGCACCCACAACGGGTGCTGAGCAGAGAGTTCACGGCTGACCGCGGACTGCACGACATACGAAGAGTTCGACTGTGAATAAATCTGCTGGGATTGTTGTGACGGGCCAGGATTCCCAGCAGCTGTAGCGGCGTCCTGGATGCGGAGCCAGCAAGGCTGCCGAATCACAGCTCTTCCAGCGCTTGAGCCGAGGCTGGTGGGTCTAAACGTCCAGCAACGCGCCTTATCGACGCGTCTCTTCCACAAATCTTGCTTCAACACCAGGCGCAACGGTGTATGAATCTGCTTATCAGCCCCTATGCGCCATTCCAATACTTCTCGCGCTCAGAGCTCTTACTCGGCGTTACATAGACCGCCTTTAGACCTTCCGTGGCCCGCAACCCGAGTGTGCACGACTAGTGAAGTGCAAAACCAACCTTTAAGTAGACTAACAGGTCCTTCAATGGGGGTCGCAGTGTATTGGGGTATATTGAAACTACTGGGTGGAGTCTACTGCTGCACATTGAGGAAGACGGTGACGGGGATATGCTCTACTGGTCGCGAGAAAACCAATGGGAGGGCGCAGTGTTCAAATTGTTTGCCCCAATCCAAATCACATTATCCTTGTATGTTGTTTCGAGGTTCGTCTCAAGTTGTTCACCCCAAGAAGAAGTGCGCATCCTAAGCTCAGCCTGTTGTAGCTGCGGCAAACGTATCGCCGCAGCACTCAGAAGCTCAGAGATCTTGAGGGTATGCCGATACAACACTCTTGTATCCCACCACTGACTTCCATCTGGAATTGCCGCTTTGTAGAGCTCTGTTTCGACATGCAGAACGCGGTCCGGTGACATGAAATGGGTGGTGGCCCCATGGCCTGACTTATCGATCATACTCCATCCACTATTGATAAGTCAGCAGCTTCATCTGTGAGAGTTTTCAATGCGTTCGTACTCCTCGTCTGCATTGTCCACGTGTGGAGTATGAGGCGAATAGATATCAGTCATCGCAAATCCAGGCTGGCACCAAGCGCTCCAGATAATCTTCTTGACGCCGCTGCCAAACACACGAGTAATGACGTCGACAACTTGATGTGGAGAATCGAATCCCTCTGGAGCATCCTCTGGGTGACCTCTTGAGGTAGTTACCATAACCGTTGTCATGTCTGTAAACAAGGGCTCCAGGATCAACCTTCCATTGCGGAGCTCGTCTTCAATGGTACAGAACAGGTCTAGGAATGTAGTCCGCGCGCGAAGAACCTTGATTACGATTGCGCGCGCTTCATGACAGCTGGTAGCGACAGGAAGGCGGTTGACCAGTGTCTGGAAGTCATTCTCACCGAGGCGAAATTCATCCAATTGGTTGGAAGCGTAGACATGGAGTCTAAGATGCTGTCTTTTTTTAGAACCTGGTAAGTCATCGTAGCCCATTAACGCTTGTCGCTGACGCTCAGCATGAGGGGTAGTGCATAGTTCGGGTAGGGTGTCAATGATCCTGTACTTGAGATTAGAAACGCATATATGCGATTGTCCCAACTAGACTGACTATAGATCAGTTAGTAAAGGATCGTTTTTTAAAAGTCACAAGCTACTGCAATCGAAGGAGCTGCTACGAACCTGCTGACATTGAAGTGCCACAGCTTCAGACCATATTTGATCTCGCAGTTCTTGCGGCAGCTTTAGGAAATTTGCGAACACCACGTTGATTGCAAGTTGTTGCTTGAGAAAAGAATGCGATGGAGTTTGGTATAGATGTGGTGCTGGGTAAGAGATGAATGTCATTGCGATGTTCTGAATTAGGGGATCACGCCAACGTCTGTGCGACGCGCCGGGCCGGCAGCTAGTTAGCGTGGACATCCTGGGTGCCTAATTTGATGAAGTCCGCAAATGGCCCCAACTTCCTACGTAGAATTGGCAAGTTGCTATACCTTCGGACTCCGAGGCTCCACCAGAGTGAGACTCCACCAGTATTCTTACGACTAACAAGGTTTGCAGAATCAAGCTATGGACTTCGCAGGCGTGATCGGTGGCATTGCAGGTCGATGGCACCTCGATAGATACCTTGCAATGGGCGTGCTCGAGTGGGACTAACCAACTGGAGTGACGGTGATTAGTGGAGCAAGTGATCAACAACATCAGTCGCAGGGGCGCGCAGTGCGTGGTATGGAACAATCTGCATTTGCAAAGGAGGCTGAGTTCCAAAATTTGAACACCATCATTCATTTATAGACTGAGCTCATGGAAGTCTACAGACATCAGAGATCGGGCCAGCTCTCATCGTTGCATTCAACATCACAGTCTTTTCCTTCATTTCCCCAATCGTTCGATCGGTCACAAACACACTCTCTTGTATTGTTACATTCTTTTCCCGATCTCAACTCTCTTCTTGGTTTGCGCACTAGACCTTTGGAGTCATCGTATAATTTTACATCGCAATGCGTTTCAATTCGATCCAAGCCCTGGTGGCCGTTCTCAGTCTAGGAGCATCCCTGGAATCACCCTCAAATCCGGAATTTGGAAGTACAATGAGAATGATCCCATCCTAGTGGGACGTCTGAGCCACGCGAGTCAATTCAATGAGCGTGTTGCTCTTGTAAGCTTCGGTACGACTCATTACAGCATAGCATACACAGCCAAGACCAGAAGTGACGGTGTCGACACAAACACTTTCAAGGAAATTATTAATCTCTTCTTCTCAAAGATGGGAGAGACTGGAAAGAGCATCAGCTCTTCGACTCGAGCCGTATGCCTCGACGGCGGACCAAGTATATCTATGACCTGGAACGCGGGCACAATGATGGAGAAGCTCACTCTCGGTGGTGCTGGAGATCTCACCCCTGCACCTGGCGTCAATGGCAGAAAAGTGAGCAACCTGGTCAAGATCACCGCCAAATAAGACAGTTGAGCTGTCCCGAGGAAAGGTCTGTTTTCTTACTGCGCTGCATGTACTGAGCTTCGACCTACTCATTCTCTACAAGAACTTTGTGGTTCCTTCTAGAAGCTCGTCTCACGGTCTACAAGCAATACCGTGGCTGAATTTTGTTAGTGACTACTTGTTAGAGACCTGGATTCATGCTCTTCTGTGCTGGGTAGTCTCAAAGGCTGCCCAGTCCGACATTGCATGTCTTGGATTGCAGAATTCCTGTACTCTGTCACGGCGCTTCAACTGCTACTTTGCGATCGGCAGCGTCAGACTCTTTACGGCTAAGTTCAGCTTCAGATAGCAATTTTCTTTTGTCCTTCTCTCTCGCGCTCCGTAGCTACAAATCTCTGGTTGCGCAGCCTGTCCTCCAGTTTCGCAATTGTCTGTTGTATATTGGTGTTTGGAAGACCAATCAGCTAGAATCAATGCAATCAAGTGTTTGATACGTCGGTACACTTGGTATGGCATTCGCATTCGATACGATTGAGAGCGAGGCGCTGTGATGGAGCCTGGGCAAGATCACATGGGGCTATGCATGATAAATAATGGATACAATAACGCACGGATCCAAGCCCGCTCTTCTAGTTATCGGCAGAGGAGGGCTTCTATGGTGCACGATGAGTCACATAGATTGACGGCGTTGCGTTCAAACCTGCATGGTTGGTAATGATAGTAGAGGATGCTCTTCACTCAACACGCTTACAACAGAACATTGCGCAACGAAGTGCGCAACAGAGCTTGCCACATCGTATCACTGCTGTGAAGTATTCACGCGAAACATCTTTTCGAACTCGTCTCCACCTTCGCTATTTCGTTCGCTATGCACATCGTCTTCATTATCTGATCCTCTATCGAACTCGTCTTCCAACTTGCTGCTCTCACCAGTCAGAATCATGCACTGCTGTCTCGCTGCCACCCCATGCAGGCTGTTTTCAAGTCTTCAGCCACCTCAAATGTTTTAGATTTTGCGCTCCAACCTCAAGTCATTTATCTTATGCTAGGGAGAGAATTCTAGATAATTACATTATCAGTAAGCAAGCAATTTCGCTATTGGCTCGGCACTTCCACATAGAGGCAAAAACAAAAACGTCCTACACTAGAAAGACGACGAACTACGCGCTGTACTGGTCTGTGCTTGGGTTTGGCGCATCGACATTAGACATATCTCTGTCCTTCGCGTTCGATGTGGAACGGACTGTTAAGGTCTAGCTCCCTTGCCTGCAAACATCCCATGGATCCAAGGGCAAAGTGTCGCACCGGCGTCTACTGATGCACGCAGGATTTCCCAGCGTAGTACATGTGTAACGTGGCTACACCGGACTGAGGAGCGCCGATAGCTTTGCAAGCCTGCTATGTATCATCTCTCCGTCCCCTAATCGCTTTTGCTGCTCGACACCGCTCCCTTAAGATCCGCTCATGTATAGTAGAGCAGTGCGCAATATATCTCGCACATATACCAACATCTTAATTCAGGGACGAACTTCATCTCGGCAGTCATGTTCAAGAACCAAGCCTACCAATGGACCGTAGCAACCGGCTCAGCGCGAGAAGTCCTCCCAGACGAGCGCGCAGGCGTCATCTTCAAATACACACCCTGCATCGGCACAAAGATATTCGGCGGCACCGTTGTCTTCATCGTCACCGAAGCTGGTGCTGTGTGTGGTCACTTCCACCCCCCTCCTGGTTTTCCTGATACAGACAGTCTCCGTACAGAGGACTTCATGGACCGTTTGGCTGCTTACATCAAGACCTGGCAGGATTACTTTCCTCCCGTCGCTGCTGCGGCTTGGATCTTTTATGATGCTGGAGGCCCCGGTTCGTGCGCTGGTCGAGTGAAAAAAATGGAGATGATGCTGGCCAGCGCAAAAATTGCGGCAAGTAAGGTTTCGATTGTGCCGTATTGGCACTGAAGTACGGCGTTTGTGGCGTCGGTTGGGGGTTCTGGAGGGGTCGGTGTTCAGATGCATCTGGATAGCAACCCGGTTCTCTAGACAGCTGAGGTGCGTTATGTCGCTAGGTCGTGGTTCTGTTCTCCAGTGTCTCAGGCGTCCAGACAACTACATCTATGAAGATGCTAGGTCAGATACTCCTAGACCGGTATATTTTGAATTAGCCTACGACAATGCTGGGTGTGCGTTACGGGGCCGTGCATCTGCTACTTGAAAGTTAGAGAACAAAGTTTTGTCGACCTGACGAGTACTGGAAAGCGGACTTCTCTCTGTGCTAACACTCAAACACTATACAAGAAGCAACCAATTCTTTCTGAGGCAGGCTTAACGAGGAGGTACTGCTACTGGGATAGCGTACTGCGTTGCTCTGGAAGGGGATAACAGAGGAACGGTACTGTATAATACGTTATGCGCAACAGAACAAGATCTGCCCCTATTCTCAATGCAAAAACTGGATTCTGCCGGTGATCACACATCTCAAACAATTGTTGTATCTACAGCCGAACAAATCGACGTTCCGAAGTATCTTAATTCACATACGCGAAGAAATTCTAGGCACAGATTTCTGGGCGATGCCGTAAGGTCGTCGAGGTCATCGGGACCGTTATAGGGGGTCGGCTTCATGCGAGTGGAAATAGCGTGTTGGGTGCTGGAGCTGTAAAGCGTGCCATCATCGCAAGTGAAGACCAGTTCAGGATGGCGGGCAGACAGCAACCCGGCGCGCAATCACGTGGCTCGCTTGGCGTTCGCTGCACCCCGCAATCCGGCGGACGAGCGCAAACATACGAGGGGCCGCCAAGGCGTCCGAGCTTTCAAAGACCCTGCCACAGCTGTGAAAGGTATCGAAAATCTTCTGTGGGTCAATGTGTTTACATCGGCCCATCTTCCTATCAACAGTGTCTGCCGATGCAGTGCCGATTCGTTGCCGATGCTCCCGACTTCGTCAGGTGTATGGCCGCAACTCGATAAGCAGCACCTTGTCGGTTAATTAGAAAAAAAGACGAGAACAAGCAAATTTTGAACATGTGGAGGGCAACACTGGTCAGCGCGGTATGCTGTATCAAGAGGCTTGAGCATGATCCTTGTAAATGTTCCCACCGTTTGAGAAATCCCTTGCCAGATAGACCGTTCGTTGACATGTAAGCTAGCACCAGGGCTAAAGATTACTTGTACTTGTCACTTTGAGTACAACGCTGGTTTGACGCTGCTAAGTGGCAAAACGTAGTGGACACGGGTAAGGCCGCCAACGGTCATGCACGGCGTTATTGCTTCATTTTCTGGGGTTCAATACACCAACCAGATCTGTCCATGTCGGGGCAATGCGTCTAGAACTTAAAAAACATGACCCGTCTGAACTTTCACCAAATGCACTTTTACGGGATCATCGGACGCTACTTTCAGGTCCCAATCGCCAGGCGTTAGGCGTCTACCTGCTGGACACAGGAGATAGCTTCAAGCGCATCGCAGCAGCGGCTCTCAACGCGATTGTCACGAGTCGCAGCAGCACAGAAAGGGCGTGACGCGTCTGAAGGGGATTTGCCCGAATCTTGACAGAATCAATTAGCGTCGGTCTACAGGATGTGTAAACGGCCAGATTGCGAGATGTAGGCGTGACAATCCACTACACCACTACCTCTCCTGGGAAAGCAGTAAAGTGTTTAAAGAGCACGAGATGGTAGACTTGGCCCCCATGGTCGTAAGTTGCAGGTACTCTGGTATCGCAGAACGACCTACTCCAAGTACATCAACACCACATCCTCTGTCACGGTAACAGCCGATCAAAGCACAACTAAGCCCTATTGCAACCTTGCCCCGATCTTAGGATCAACTACAATTGCGGGTACGGGTGGTATTGGTCTGTGCGATATCATACAGTCACGACCTGCCCTGTATGGAAAGTAAGCTAGTAACAACGCGACCCCGACGGGTGACGCTGTGCCTCAATCACTACCAGTCCAAATTTCCCATCCTTCTGTTTTTTTGTTAACCTTGTCAATCGATAGTGTAGGGCGATGCCCATGGCCAAAACGTATTACCCGGCGAAAAAGGTAACTAGGCTAGTGAACAAGGCGCCGGCGCCAAGTGATGCTAAAGAATGCAGGGCATATGCAGGGGCAGATTTCCATCGTTCCTGGCGTTCGTCTACACTGACCTGATTGTAAGACTGTGCATGGTGTTGAACATGTGCGTTCTCGCTTTGCTCCCTGTCACCATTGGATCGTACGTGCACGCTACCGTAGTGGACTATGGTCAGTGGCTATAGCATTCACTCAAATATAAAAAAGAGGGGACGTGGTCTCTCTTGAGACACCACAGATATCGACGAGCATTCACTCTCCAATCTTTGCAGACATGTCGTTGTCGAAGAACTTGTTTCTTGCCCTTGTGGCCTCTTCATCCATCTTGTCTGATGCCTTGTCAATTGATCGTCGAGATGTCAAACCTAATCTTCCATACGATGTCAATACAGCTAAGAATTGTGCCTGGTGGGTCGATTATAATGGATCTCAGACGTGTGCGCAAATGCTTGACGAGAATTGGATCGACTTGGAGCAGTTCCGTCGCTGGGTAGGCTTCCCCTTCATATCTAAAAATGTGCAACGACAGAGTGCTAACAATACTCAGAATCCTACTATTGGATCAGATTGCGCAGGCCTCACGAGCGGGAAGTCTTACTGTGTCGAAGCGCCCGTCGACTCTGCTACTTCCACACCTACACCTACGCCAACGCCGACACCCACACCCACACCCAAGCCCACGTCCATGCCTAGTGTTTCGAGCTCTTCCATCAAGACCATTGTAATCCCCTCGTCTGCATCAGGCTCCACCACCGCCGTATCCTCCTCCACCACCACGAGTGCGGGCAATGGTGTTGCAACGCCTCAGCCTACGCAGCCTGGGATGGTGACCAACTGCGCCAAATTTCATTGGATTGCCAAAGGTGTCGTATGTAGCCAGGTTATCAGCTATCAGAAGATCACTCTCCAAGATTTCGTCAAATGGAACCCAACAGTCCTCAACGATTGCTCTGGCATGTGGGCCGAAGTGAACGTTTGTGTTGGCGTCATTGGAGGCACAACACCAACTTCAACCAAACCAACCACTACCACTTCAGCAGGCAATGGAGTCGTAACTCCTCAGCCCACACAGCCAGGCATGGTGACGAATTGTGCTAAATTCCACTGGATTGCTCAAGGCGTTACCTGTAGCCAGGTTATCAGCTACCAGAAGATTACACTCCAGGACTTTGTGAAGTGGAATCCAACTGTCAAAAGCGACTGTTCAGGAATGTGGGCCGATTCGAACGTTTGTGTAGGCGTCATTGGAGGAACCACAACGCCTCCAACCCCAACTACATCTGCGGGCAATGGCATCCAAACCCCACAACCTACCCAGCCAGGCATGGTCACTGATTGCAAGAAGTTTCATTACGCAGAGACTGGCGTTGTTTGCAGCCAGATCACAAGTTACAATGGCATTAGTCTGGCCGACTTTGTCAAGTGGAACCCTGGCGTTGGTTCTGATTGTAGGACCATGTGGGCGAAGACTTTCACGTGTGTTGGCGTCCTCTGATACAGCACTACCTAAACTTCATCATAAAATTGTTATTATACATAGAGCTTTTTAATAATAGTTCAACTATCCGTTAATACAATCTGGGCTGATGCGACAGCTCAGCGATACAATAAACGTCCATGAGCACCCAAATGCGCTAATATCGAGATGATCGTCGGCCACACAGTCTGACTATCGCCTAGCTCGATCACAGAACGTCGCTAAACACATGAGATATTGGACTGGCGACGAACCTGGATTGCCGCATATACACACTTGCACGAGAGTTCACTGCACGGAAGAATCCCTCAATTTTCAGTAGTGGGCACATGAATACCTTGATTAGGACGAGACCACCGAATTGCTACACATTTGTGTGTAAACGACGGCAATGCTGCGGGCTCCTGCCTAACAAGCGATAGTGGGCGGCCTCATCAACAAGCCTCCAGGGGCTGGTGAATCTGGGTACCTGCGAGGTACCCTTTCGCCCCGCCAAAAATCGAAACGTCCCGTGCCGAATACGGGAGACCACCTGCAGTAGGTACGGGATATGGCGGATCTGCTCCCGATGGGATCTATTGGAGGTTTAATGCTTATGGAAGATGGTTCCTTCCAGAGGCACGGCACAGTCTTGGCGAGGATCAAGCAACTAAACTTCATGTGAATATACCGAAGCTATATATCGCGCGCAAACATTCCTTGGCGGCTCGCCTAAACGGTCAAATTGCAAATTGTGTTTCCGGTGAAGGGAGTTTTGCAGGGTGTACCAAACTTTTTTGTTCCTGTAAACATCCTACTGTCACGAATGATAACCCAGTCACCTGCTTCTTGCCGCAGGGCCGGCGGTCGCTCTCGCTTATTTTTGCACTATAACCAAGAGAATCTGCCCCAAGCGCAGGGCATTCCATAATGCACGTATGCGGCATATATCGTATGATCTGCATTTGCCGGAATCATTTTCGAAGGAATAGTGCTCAATGGGTCGGCTATCATTACGCTCCAAGGTCGAAAAGGCACTAGAGCGTATGACCCGTCCTGATTTTCAGTCTAATATCTTACCGGCAAAAAGTAAACCTCTTGCCCCCGCAACGAACTATGGAAGATTTGTGCGTACGAAATATGTACTCCCGCGCTGTACCTAGCGTGAATCTGGGCTCAATTGGTCGTGCTGGGGTGGCACAGGCCATGTCTTTCGCTGTCGTTTAACTCGTCAATCTCAAGTCAGGCACCATCGAGTTGTCTCGCCCGAGGTATATCAAAAGCTAGCTCAAAGGCTGAGCGGATGCAACTTAACATGGATCGGAATCCACGTGGTACCAGCACGGTCGAGGCCTGGTTTACAATACCTAGCATAAGCGAGACTAGGTATGGCCACCAAGTACATAGCAGCACTCAAAATGTATATATCCATCACAGTGGCTCATCCTAGGAAAAATGAGCCGACTCTATAGTGTCTCACCACACAATGAGATACTCTCACTCCTCCCCCAGCTCTAGGGGGAAGTCATTTATGCTCTCTCTTCTCAGTGTTGCGTCAATCCTACCATTCACTCCTTTGGCCTATGCCCAGATTGACGACACCCAAGCTAAACCGGTACTTGATCAATTCTCTGTTGCTGCACGTTGTCCGCTTTCCTGTGGTCGGGAAGGCAACTGGGCTCTATACAGCGGCATTGATGACCTTGAGAGCTGCAACAAGACCGTTCTTCTTGAACTCAACCTCTATACTCCAATAAGTGACGAGAACTCTGCTATTGGTATTCGGTCATGCGCTGTCGATTCCGGCGCAGCAAAGCTCAAGGCTCGTCAAGATTTTGTCGTATCCAACGCCAACAATACTCCTTCGATCTTCGACAAGGAACAGCAGACAGGCGACATTCAGATCTTGCAACAGACCGGAGTCAGCTCGGATGCAGGATCAGTTCAGTCCGCCCTGGTCGCGCTCGCCAACTACCTGCGAAGTGAAAAAGACGGCACTTCCACAGCGTTGTTTGCAAAGACAGGAGATGTCATTGTTGGTGTCTATGGAGGCCTTCAGGTTGAGAAGCAAAGTTTGTCTTCACTGGTGCAAGATTTGACGAAGCACATTGACGCTCGCAACCTGGGCCAGGCTACTGCACAGTACTGCAAGGATGATTCACTGAACACGCAAATTTTTGGTGTGTTCTTGGACACAACCGGTGATCTTGCGGCTGCACAGAAGGCCCTACGAAGCTGGAATGAAGCTGAGTGTATTTCTGGATCTTGGGACAGTGTAACGAAGTGGTAAGCGAAGATTCTTTCGATTTGATTGAGAGGCATACACTGATCTGTGCGGCTAGGCAAGGCGCATCTATCTCGATGATCCCTGGCTCGGATATCCTCGTCGTCCCTGCTACTAGTCGCAATGAAACTGTCGCGAGGAGAGGCAACATCATACAAAGAGCGACTTGCAGCTACACTCAGGCAGTGGCAGGCGATGGCTGCTGGGCGCTTGCTGATCGCTGCAAGATCACACAAGCAAAGCTCGTGGAGTTCAGTGGCAACTCAAATCTTTGCAACGCTATACAAGTAAATCAGTACTACTGCTGCTCGGCTGGCACACTTCCCGACTTCAGTCCTCAGCCAAATGCAGATGGTACATGCAAGACGCACCCTGTTGCCTCAACCGACATCTGCGACACCATCTCAAAGAAGTACTCAATGACTGTCAAACAATTACAAGACCGCAACAAGAACACTTGGGGTTGGCAGGGTTGTCAGTTTCTGATGAAAGACCAATTGCTCTGTATTTCAACGGGTGCACCACCAATGCCAGCAGTCGATCCACTCGCAACGTGCGGACCTACCGTTGCCGGCACCCAAAAGCCGAGTGACATGTCCAAAATTAACGAGCTGAACCCATGCCCTCTTAAAGCTTGCTGCAATGTTTGGGGCAACTGTGGAATTTCGAAGGACTTCTGTATCCTAAACCCAGCGGACACAAAGGCGCCTGGAACGACGCAGCCTGGAGCCAACAGTTGCGTAGCCAGTTGCGGAATGGAGATCACCAACAACGGCGCTGCTCCGTCTTCGTTTATGCGGGTTGGGTACTTTGAAGCATTCAACCTTGAGAGGCCCTGTCTTCACATGCTGCCGCGCCATATCAACACAAACTACTATACACATATTGTAAGCCATCATACCCGATCGCCATGTTGACATCTCTTTGCTCACATATCTCAACAGCACTTCGCCTTTGGCGATATATCCACAAGCTTTGGAGTGCAGCTCGGCAAGCTGCAGCCTATGTTTGAAGAATTCAAGAAGCTCACTGGGGTGAAGAAGATCATGTCGTTTGGTGGTTGGTCATTCTCTACCGAAGCTGACACATATCCTATCTTCAGGGAGGGTGTCACAGCAGCGCAACGTGCAACATTTGCCAACAACGTCGTGCAATTTGCTGCCGATAATAATTTGGATGGCCTTGACTTTGACTGGGAATATCCAGGTACGTATTGCGTCTTGTCCCTTCTCTGCGACAACAAGATTGAGCATATGGATTGCCACATGAATGCGCGACTTCAAACTCCCTAGGAAAACAACAAATACTGATCCTTTTTTGCAGGTGCTCCAGATATCCCTGGCATCCCTCCGGGCAGCATTAACGATGGTCCAAACTATCTTGAGTTCTTGAAGGCCGTTCGTAGAAGACTGCCACAAGGAAAAACGATTGGTATCGCAGCTCCTGCTTCGTTCTGGTACCTCAAGGGATTCCCCATTGAAGAGATGGCTAAGGTTGTGGATTACATCATCTACATGACGTACGATCTGCACGGCCAATGGGACTACGGCAACAAGTGGTCCACAGACGGTTGTGTGAAGGGAGACTGTCTGCGTCACCACACCAACCGAACAGAAACCGAGCTGGCGCTTGTCATGGCGACAAAGGCCGGTGTGCCAGCAAACAAGATTATAGTGGGCATGCCTCTCTACGGTCGCTCGTTCAAGATGACTTCGCCCGGATGTACAGGACCGATGTGTACTTACGTGGGTAAGGAGTCTGCCGCTGCTCCAGGCCGTTGCACGGGTACTCGGGGCTACATCTCCAATTTTGAGATTCGCGAACTGATGGCTAGCAAGAACGTCCAGCAATTGAAGACGGCTGAAGGAGACGAGATAATGGTATATGATGGGACTGAGTACGTGGGATACATGACCAAGCAGAAGTACAACGAGCGCTCCAGTTGGATCAAGGGCCTCAATTTCGGTGGTACGTCAGATTGGGCGATAGATCTCGACGGTGACTACGATATTGGCAGTGGGCCTGGCGGAGGTGCCGGGGTCAGTACTGTTTTGTAAGTGTTGATGCATGATGCATAAGTGGAACGGATACTAATCTTGGCCTCGTGGCCCGGCAGAGGAGGCACTACTTCGGTCATTGGTGGTGTCACCAGCGTGAACAACGGGGTTACAACAGTAAGTCCATTCTCTGCATCTTCAGTACTCATGAGGCAACGACTGATTTAATCAAGGTTATTGGAGGCTCGACTACAGTACGTGACAACCAAAAGCGGACTGCGCACTGAAATATCACTGCTAACCTCGTATCCGAACAACAGGTCATTGGCGGAATAACTACCACGCTCTCCCCGACTACTACCGTTGTCGATGGTACTACTGTAAGTAAACGATGTGGAGTACTCAGGCTCCGAGCAAGATACAACAGCCTGCTTAGTTTCGAGGCTCGTTTTGCACCACTTTCCGCTCTGCCTCGAACACATCCGGTCTCGGTATCTTGTCTACGAGTTCCAACTAACATGACTTACAGACTGTGATCAACGGAGTGACCACTGTCGTTGGCGGAGTTACCTTGACGTTACCTCCTGGACCTATCACGACAGTCGTCGGTGGTACTACGGTGAGCGATCTCAAACAGAATCTATATGTGATAGTTGCTGACGTCGATTCCTTGCTTTGTAGACTGTTATCGACGGCAAAACAACGGTCATCGGCGGCACATCAACGACTTTTAATCCCGGTGTTGTCACTACCGTAATTGGTGGCACTACTGTAAGTGGACACACGCATGGTGAATGTGCGACATTGGCTAACTTGATGTCTTTCAAATGACAGACCGTGGTTAATGGCAGAACGACGGTGATAGGCGGCGTGACAACGACAGTTCCTCCTGGGGGACTCCCTACAGCGACCGGTGTCCCAACCGTGACCAACGGACGCTGTACCGGCCGCGATTGCGTCAATGGCCGCTGCGTGGGTATTCTCTGCGCAAGCTTTGGCTGCTCTGGTCGGGATTGCACCAACGGCGTGTGTACGGGTCTTGATTGCATTCCTCTGGGATGTATGGGGCCCAACTGTGCAGATGGTGTATGCAAAGACCGAGGCTGCCTCAACGGCGGTTGCATAGGCTCGGATTGCGAAGGCGGTGGCGGTGGTGGCGGAGGCACTGGACACGTAAGTATTATCAGCGAAGTTCAACATGGGACAACAGCTGACTTTGTGATTGCCCCATAACAGTGCTTCGGACTTAATTGTCTCAGTCTTGGCTGCGCAGGACTGGACTGCGGACCAAACGGCGTTTGTTTTGGCATCAACTGTTCTTCACGTTCTTGTACGGGCTTGAACTGCTTCAGCGGCACTTGCGCGGGCTCTTCCTGCACGGCCTTTGGAGGCGCAACTGGCGGTGGAGGTAACGCTGTAAGTATACTCGGGATGTTCCATGTTGATTCATTAGCTGTGTGACTACTGCTAACGATATATGTCAACATAGCCCGACGATGGCAAAGACCCGAAGTCATGCAGCACAAGCAGCAGGTACAGGACATGCACGACGAAGTTGATAGTGTCCAAGACAGTCTTCCCCGATGCAGACTCGACTGCTACCACGACCAGCACGAGCAGCACCTGTTACACGGTTACAGCATGCACTGGCTCACAATCAGCCTTCACGACGACCACTCAAACCACTACCACCGTCGAGGATCTTTGCGCACCGACTGCCTGCGGAAATGCCTGTGGACCCGTGAAGAGAAACATGGGCGTGATACCGACTGCCGTCCCACAGCTGGATGACTCAGGCGTTCTGCATATCGGATCAATGAGCTCCAACAGCGCTCTCGCTAAGCGCGCAATATCCAAGCGCGACATCCCGCTGGATGACACGGGCGACTGGGCGAATTATTACAGGACCCTCAAAGCAGACCCCAACACTTTTGTCATCGATAACTATGCCCAGACAGGAGGAACACTCGCTTCATGGGTCCGGTATAAGTGGGGAAACTCGCCAATCAACGTGATTGTCCAGGACTTGTATGGTTGTGAGTATACACCTTTGACACGTTTGCGTTGGTGGCTCACCATCCTGCTCGACTCTAGGCATCGCTGTCATTGCGGTATCACAGCTGGGTAAGTCACATACCGGATCTGCGTAATCAAGGATCACACTGATCATCTCTGTTTAGGTGTTTTTGTCGGCCACTTCTGGGAGAAGAACAGCGTCATTGTTCCTGATAGGTTCTTGATTGATGTTATCGGCACACTGCAGTATGTAACCCGAGCCCACGAGGCGCTTCAAATTGGTGTCTCGACTGAAGGATAACTTGCTTCTAGATCAAACTTCGACCCCTCATCGGATACTAGCAAGGAGTACTTTGGACCGTCAACACGATTCTACATCATGTGTAAGCTACGATCCGAGAATCATAGGTGATACGTTGGATGATTACTGACCTTTTGGTTCGATAGCTGGTACTGCCAAATCCACAGTGACGAACGGCCCTGATGATATTGCGAGTCTCGGTCGATCAGACCCTGCAGGGCCATTCAGGGCACAGCAAGTGGAAAGCATTAAGCGCCTACTCAGTGTGTATAGCGACGACATTGTTGTATACACGTACTTAAGGCAGCGCGACGAGACTATCAGAGAACAAGGAGGTTGGGGCAGGGCAGCAGTATGTTCAATCTCACTCAGGGCAGTCAGTAATTACAGCTGACCATGGTGCTACTAGGTATCTTTCCATCCAGCTCAGAGCACGTTCCCCGGAGGACCGTTACTTCCCGGTACCGCGCTGGTCAAAGTCGTACTACAAGGTACTCCCCTGGAGAACAGGTTCTGGCCATACGTACAGATCGACGTCTGGCGAGTCAACAGCGGCGGCAAAGCCACCAACGTGGCCAAACAAGTGGCAGCGGGTCAAGTCATCAACCCCTGTAATGACCTGAACCAAGTGGCCAGCACCGAAACGGTGACTCTCGGGTCTGAAAACGTGGGTGTTGGTCGTAGCCAGCCGTTCGCCATTTTGCAGAGCAACGGTGTCGTACTTCAAGGTGGTGGTAATTGTGCCTGTAAGTACTATCCATCCATACAGCAAATTGCATCTCAGACAGACACGCTAATCACATATCTAATCGTAGTCTCCGGTGGCCCTTACGCACCTGATCGAAGCTCGGGTCTCATCGCTGGGCAATTCACTTGCGACAGCGGAACACCCGTCTTGAGAGACTGTTTCAGGCCCACGAACAATTTGGCCACCACTTGTGGTAGAGGAGCGGCTAGTGGGTGTGGAAAGCTGGGTCAGAACTGTAATGATTACTACCAGCTCGTAGCATCTTGCCGCATCTAGAGGTCGAGATACTTGATGCATGTCTATAGCGAGATCGAGTAAGGATAGCAGGCTGAATAGAATCCTGTGGAAGTGCTCGAGCTTTTATTCAATGTCTCACAAACTGTGCATCGTTATACGCTTTCTTCAACTGATTCAATTCGCTTGACACTTCTTGATATGCTCTTGCTCATCTCACACGCTTCACATGCAGTGAAACAGATCCGAACTCCTCCTATTGCACGCTGCAACTGCGATCACGACTCTGAGCCTTTTTAGGCCCATCGGGGTTCTGTTGCGTCCAAGCCGCGACATCAGCTAGAAACGACTTCTGCTCCATCTCCCTTGCAACCTCCAAAGCAGGCGCTGGATCCGCGCCTCGGTCCAGAAGTAGCCAGGTCAATTCGCGCGAGTCCAGGTCGGGTCTTCCTATGCCTGGTACATACGCGATTGGGGTGCCCCAAGCGCTGGACATGCCTTTCGTCGAACCAGGCTCTTGATCAGGCGCATTGACATCTAGCTTCACTTCGTCCAGCAAGTATCGCACAAGCTCAAGATGCGTTGCCTGCCTGGCTCTGTCGCGCTGTTGTTTTTCCGCATCGTCACGTCCGTCGCAGCCGAACGCAGCCGTCTCGACGGCCTTGTGCAGTACGCGCTGACTCAATGGCGCCCCTTTGGCGCGTAAGAGTTTGAAAACTTCTAGGTTGCCGTGGTTTGCAGCATATTCTAGGATTGCATCGCAATGGCGAGGGGCTTGCTCGATGCCATATCGATTCCACGGTTGGTTGCTGGGAAGGACGCTTGCGCCATGCTCCAAGCACCAGACGATCATGTCGGCGTCGCTCGTCATAAACCACATGAAGGGCGGGCCGTATCCTCTCCAGTTGATGTCCCATCCGTGGGCAAGTAGGAACTCGAGGGTCGCTTTTGAAGGAGGGTTACCGTGGTCGGCAACGTCTGTTGGCTCAAGATGCTTGACACTTACACCACGATCGATGAGGGACTTCAAGATGGTTGTCGAGCTTCTCTTTATTGCTTCCCGGCAGACTCTGCTGAAAAATTGATCGAGATCCTCATCTGGGGTCATTGATATGGCTTGGTCTAATAGCGTTGTGTTGTCCGTCTCGATCGCGGTCCTGACGAGAGTCCATCTTGGGCTTTCCGCATCTGCCATTGTGGTCTTTTTGGTGAACTGGGTGTTGTAGGGGTTTTGTTGCCCTTTCCGTGAGGTGCAATGGTGGGATTGTGGTGAAGTTGTAATCGGTGCTCGCGAAAAGTGGAGGACACGTGTGACCTCATTAACCATGTTTAATTTCAGGGAACTGCGCCACCTCGAAAGGTCGCTTCCGATGGGCTCTGGGACTGGTAAACAAGTGTAGCTCCACGACATGGCCCTCTCAAAATGACGATGATTTGTAGCGCGCGCAATTACAGATAGACATAGACAGGGCTTGCTGCTACATGAGTGTTATGTTGCAACAGTGACTGTGCGGGGTCAAATGCATGTTGTTGCACGTGCGAGGTTGTACGACTAATGAAGGCAGGGCAGGTTCTCACGAAGACTTCGCTACCAACCTTAAACCGGCACCATCACCGCAAGATTGTATACACATGATGGCTTCTCTGGATACGGCTCAAACGAAATCACACGAGGCGGACGCGAGATCAGCCCCCTCCCCAGATGAAATGCAGCGACTGGCTCAAATTGAAGTGTATGATCGCACCGGGTCTAGGAAGCCACTCGGTGACTTCATCAAAGCAAAGAGATCTGTCTTGATCTTCACTAGACATTTTTGTACGCCGCATCTGCTGAGAACGAGAATGTTCAATGACTGAAACGAAAAGGGTGCTTGAACTGTCAAGCATACGTCCGCGCTATAAGCAAACAAATTCCGCCTTCCAGTCTGCCTGTCGGCACTCAAAGTAGGCCGCAACGAAGTTCTCAAACAACTCACTCTGATTTTGACTAGTTCTAATTATCAGCAATGGCTCTTATCAGCCCATCAACACGTATATAAGCATGACATCGTCTGCGTATCCTGTCTACACAGACCCAACGCTTCAACTTCACAGTATTTTGAAGTTCAAGTCGGTTCTGAGAGAGGCAAGCAAGGATGAGAAAAAGAGGGACTACATGGAGAATGAGGGGACCCTTGTCGGCAGAATCTTCGGTGGTATTGTGGGTGCTGTTACGAACATACAGCACACACCTTACATTGGACCAAAGGCCTTAAACGGTGGTGAAGTAATCATTGCAACCGGTACGGATCATCACTAGGATGAAAACCATTCTTGAGCAAAGCTAACACAATAAAGATGGTAGTTGCGAGTACATCTACCGCATGCAAAACACGGTGGACCATGTAGATGTCAGTGAGCTCGCTCGGATCATCGGTGTTCGCAAAGAATCCATGTAGTTGATCTGGTCGGAACTAGTGCTAATGGATGGGCTCCAGGGCACAGCTTGAAAAATAACAACTGCAGGCAATATGAGTGTCAAGGGTCCTGGCATATCGTCATCTTGTTATCATATTTGGAGTGGAGAATTTATGTATATCACCCCCGAGAAATTAGCCCTCTATGGCAGATTACACAGCCACTTGACCATCTACCTTAGATCCGTTCGTGCTGACAACCCTCTTCTTCTGTCCCTCCTCGGCATCGAGAGGCACATTCAAACCCAAGCGCTCGCGAGTGGAGTAGGCAGTGATGCCTCCTTGCGGATCAGCCTCTGTGATGAGCTCTTTGCGGCGAGTATCAACGAGTAGGCGGATAAGATCAGGGCGCATGTAGTGACCGGAGAAATCGGCCAGGGCCTTGGTCAGATGGCACTCGTTAAGATCAATCTGCCCAGTTGTCAGTAAGATATCGTAGTATCATTTGAAGGAGGCTTACATCAACGAAGAGAAGGCCATCGAAGTCCTTATCAGGCTTAGCGACCAGTGACCCATCAGGCTTATAGATACGAGCGTGACCGTTGTATGTAGAGGGATCAGTCTCAGGCTCCACGCCCTCGGGTGTGTTCTTCTTCAGGCCCTCCTTACTCAGTCTCTGAAATGGTGCCAATGTCCATGTACCAGTCTCAATCGCATAAGCGGGTGTGACCAGGTCAGAGGCTGTTTCAGCAAAATTGGTTGCTGGGTCGGGATACTTGCAGTTCTCCACGCCAGGATAGACGGGCCAGCCAGCGACATGAATCTGCTCGCCCTCTGACACGTTGAGAGATTTGAGGAACGGGTTCATATTCTCCCAGCAATTCAGCTGACCGAGGCGGCCAAGCTCTGTTTGGGTGACAGACTTGAAGGTGTCACCAGAACCATCACCATAGACGAGCTTCTCGACGTGGGTAGGCTTGATCTTGCGGCGGTGGTTGATTACCTCTCCAGTAGGATCGATCAAGGTCTGGGTGAGGTAAAGAGTCGCATGGTCAATCTCAGAGAAACCAAGCGAGACATAACTGTGCAATGTCAGTGCTAGTGTCTGCGACATAATACCCTTTACTCACATTTGGTTGTCCCTAGCGGCGCGTCGAATACGTTTGAACTCCTCAGAGTCAATGGGAAGAGAGTTCTCGCGGTACTTCTTCAGCATGGGAAGCGACTGAAGGTAAGTGACCTTCCACATCCAGTACGGGTATCCCGGAATCCAGACTTCAGGGAAAGCGATAAGCTTGCAACCGGCCTGACCAGCTTCATTGATGAAAGCAATGGTCTTTTGGACGCCAGCCTCGAGATCAAACCAGGAAGGCTCAGAAGTCACGGCAGCGGCTTTGTACTTGATGAGAGGCATCTTCGAAGATTGCAATTTTGAAGGTGTTGTAGAGTTGGGATGTTGGAATTTGTTCTGATAAGTTTGCTACGGTTATGGATTCATCTGTGAAGTGTAGTGGAGGTTTATATACTGCATCTGTGAGCTTGCAGCCCGCGCTATCCGGTGCGACTACGAAAAATCATGGATGATCCCCATTACAGGTTTGTCGCGTTACGAAGCATGCCGTACGCATGGTCCATGCCAAGAATGCGTTGTCTATCTCCTGATGTTTTGATCCTGGCGACATTTGTCTGCAGCGTCACCGTGTGCGCAAAGTCGCGAAATCAGATTGGACCTGCGGAGCCTGCACGCCCCACATAATGCAGTTCGCTCAAACGTGCCTTCCAAACATATGATCTTACATCGGCGGCATAGGGTCGGCATCGCTAGCATGCATGCCGCTCCTGCTGTGTCATCGGCAGACGATCGGCACCATCGGCATATATCTGCTACCCTCGGCAAAGGTACGAACATCGAGCGAGTCTCGGAGATGCTAACAGCGAGTATTTTCCATAAACTGATCACAGGGTTCAATCACGTTCATTCGTGTCTCGGCCTACGTATACCTGAACAAATATTTGTTGACATGGAGAACCAACAAGACGTCCTGCCGTCAAAGATCGCATTATCTCTCCAGCGTTTTTTAGATTACCTTTTTCATTCGAGATTTCTTGCCATTGATAAGAATTTACTACCACTTGGTTGTCTCGTGACAGGCCCGAGCTCTTCTGCAGTCTGACAATGTCAGCTTTAGCCCGCATACACCTTATCTCGCAGACCACCGCAGGCCATACAAACCGTAAACACAGTAGTCCGAATCATTGTGTGGTGAATTCAATAAGGTTTGACATCAGCATTGATTCAGTGATTATTCAGTCCTTTAGAGCCCTAAAATGTCACGTATCGTTATATCTGTACGGGACAGGTGGTACTGCCAAGGAAAGCGTAGGAGACACATATTTTACAGTTGGGATTCTATCCCATTTCGTGATACGATCTCTAAATATGAGAACATGTATGTCGTATGAAAATAGATAGGATTATATCCGAGCGGCTGTGTTCGCGGTAGTGTCAGTCACATATTCAACGAGGACGACAAGCAGTTACATTTGGGACTTTGCATGTATAATTAGTGAATTCGTCGTTCAAAACAAAGACGAAGTACCCGAGGATATGAAAGAAAATCAAAATTGTCACCGATACTCCTATATTTCCTCCTCATGGCGCACTTGCCTCCCACATATCGATAGTCACGCCTTCAGTTCCGCTCCTGGTCAGCACGCCCACGGCTACAACATCATTCAACCAGTCGTAGGTCCCGTTCGTTGCAGTCTCAAACTTGCCCCGCAGCAGCGTTCTGCCGTTTGACTGCGTTGGGCCCTCTGTTTGGACATAGATCCATGTGCCGTCGTCGGTCTGAATGTTGTATCGCGCGTCGGGCCGGATCTTGCCGTCCACATCGGTAAGACGCCAGTCTGCGCCGAGATTGAGGACTTTGCCTGGTAACGCTTAGTAGTGAGCTGGCATCAGAAAGTTTTCATCGGATCTCAGGCGGGTGAAGCTGTAGAATTGTTGTTGCACGGGAAGAGAAGAGAGACAAATGAACTGACCGGAAAGCTTCGGCCCCTTGAAGGTGCCACCAACGATCGGGATCACAATGCGCTCTTGGCCGTTCGGTACGGGGCCGAGAGAAAATCGCTCGCCTAGCTGTACCTCCATATGGTACAGCAAACTCATCTTTGGTGGCTGGGGATCACCTGAAGTTGAAGCCATGACGTAAGTCGCAAGGGCGGTAAGGATGCAGAGTGCAATGGAGAAACGCATTGTGAGATGTCGGATTTCAATTGATCTGAGCTTTTGCTGCTAGCGCCTCATATATGAAATCACCCGCATGGTACCGAGATTAGATGCCGTTGTTTTTGTGTCCAAAGCGGGTGTCGTCATCCGGGAACGGCAGTACGAAGTTGCTGTATCAGGCTCGGTGGCTCGGTATTTGAACGGCTGCCCCACTATTTCGTACCTACCCCGCACTCCGAAATCGCACCTTTCATTCCCTTCAAAACCTTGATCTACGCTGGCGGCATCCCAGCGCTCCCGACGACAGCCTGGTAAAGTGGGTTGAACAGACTGCATCGGTAATCCAATTGACTCTGTGGCAAGAGTGTCACACCTCCACCTTTCACTCTACCAATGTCACCAAGTACACCCACATTCCAAGTCCCGGCTGTGACGTTCCCGCTACCACCATAGTAAATTCCATCGGGAACTTGATCGTAGGCGCCTGAGAGGACAGAGCCAGCTTGACCGCTACCAAGAGCATTCCAACCGGGTCCTGCCAGAGGATTCTTTGCGAAACGTGCCCATGCACCCCGCATGTAGGAGGCGAGTGCGTATTCCTGGGTTGTTGTGTTCGACCTTGGATAAGTACCGAACACGAGTGGAATCTCAGACGCGTGATACGCTCCCAGTTGCGGATAGGACTGTGTGTTTGAGAAGGAGGCGTTGAAGTAATAGCGCCAAGTGGGAATACCAATGGATGCTGTCGCATTTGCCCACAGTGCTGCTGGCTGTGAGGGATTAGTACGCTGCTCGAGGACGAATTGGATTGACCTACGCATTGGAAAGTCGCATCCGTGATGACTGCAGAGATGGCGTCATAGCCATTGGTGATACCGGGACCGCCAATGGGGTATGCTGCTGCAATCGCAGGAATTAATGCTGGGGCTGCGCCGAAGGTAGTTTGTAGGAAGGCAGTCAAGTTGGTTTGACCGACAGCAAAGACACTTGAATGATCAGTAATGTATGGCAGGAAGGGATGGATTCTGCTCACCGTCCTTCTTGCGAGTTTGATCCTCCAAGGACAGGAATTTGCGATATGTTACCGCTGAGCCTACGTGCAGCCGGGTTCTGGAACAAAGTCACATTGTCAGCAATTGGGTTGAATATCAACGAATTAACTTCTATGATTCGCTTGATATCGGTAGCATTTGCGGCGCGCACGCATGTCAGATTGGTACCGTATGTGCCGGGACATCGGAGTGAGGCAGTGAGATTGTCCCACGCCGGTACGCTGGACATCGGAGGTGCCGCTCGGTAACTGTATTGGCCACTTTGCAGAATCGCCGCACGGAAGGGAGGCTTGCTGTTTTTAGGGTAGCTGGTCAACAAGGCGTCGACTGAGAAGCCTCCAGCGCTTTCACCAAACACCGTGACCTTACTTGGATCGCCTCCAAAGGCATGAATATTGCGCTGTACCCAGTCCAGAGCAAATCTTTGATCAAGAAAACCTAGGTTTCGTTCAGCTAATGGAAGTTCGGGGGATGCTGCAAAGCCGAACACTGGTGGGCGTCAGAGATCGGGGCACTGGAGTGGGTTTGAGTATCTGACCATTGGTCCTGTAGTTGGTAGTCACAACTATAATGTCTTCATAGTCGGCAAGAGCACTGCCGTCATATGTCGCCAGGCCTATGTTTGCGTCAGTGAAACCTCGAGGTCCATCTTAGGGGGCATACCGGCTGTGCCGAATTGTAGGGACCCTCCATAAATCCAGAACATCACGGCTCTTCCATTGCCACCAGGAGATCCCGACGGAGCGTATACGTTGAGATATAGACAATCCTCTGACTCAACGGGCGGTGGACCACCGGGGTTGTTGAACACCGCCTGAGCGAATTGTTGGCTTGCTAGGGGATCTTGACATCCATTAGCTAAAATCTATATCGCTTCGAAGTAGTTCCCATACATCTAAATTGCTGTATACATGCAGGCTTCCATGCCGTAGCGTTAAGAGGGCTGCCAAAGGCTGTGACGTTTCGGGGTGGTGAGAACCTTTCTGGAGGCGACTGCGCAAATGGAATGCCTAGAAACTGGTTCACGGAGGGCCCCAAGCCATTTGGCAGAGCTGTGGCTCTTCCAACAATAATCCCTGCATCGATTGTCGCGCTTGGCGTAGGGTTGTAATCCGATGCTGAAATCAGCGATGTCAGAGCGAGCAAGAGCACACTTCGATTGAACTGCATTGCGAAGGCTGGAGAACGATTGCGTAGCATCGGGCACCAAATATGGATGTGTTCATTATGTATGTTGTCGTTGTGACCAATGATGTATGCATCATCATCCAGTGCCACTTAGGTAGCAACTACTGTGCCGTCAATACTTCATGAACACAGGGCGGCTCCATGTGTGCGCATTGCAACCATACAGACGCCTCTGGCAGCTTTGAATACCGAGGCTGGCGTTTGAAAAAGCTATGACGTGCCCTGAATCTAGATTGGCCAAGCTGCACGCTAGATCGACGCTGTCCTGCTTGATTGTCAACAAGGATGCGGTGCCAAGGTGTTTGTGGTATCATGTGCTTGGTTCGATCGCACAAAACCCAAGTGTCTTAATTCAAAGCACAAAGTACAAGATTTGCGCTGCGGCAAGGAACTATCGAGAACATCGAGAGATAGCTCTTCGTTATTTGCGTACGATCACGAGTTATCGAAACAGAAGGTGAACGCGTGGCCGAGGCTGGCTGCCGCCTATTTGCGGGGTAAGACGACCCCATTTACATTCGCTTGTACTCGACCCTTGCATATGGCGTTTTAGCCTTCCTCTGCCCCATTCAGCGACTGTACTGGGATGCGTACTGTAAACGGAAATTTGCGCGGCAAGTCGCATGTCACTGCTTTCATCGTGCCCACCAGTGCCTGGAAGTGGAGTGAACCTGATCTGAGTGCGCATAGCTGCACCATGATTACCTGTCGACAAACTTTGAAACTAAGGTTTAACGAAAAGAAGCACCTCAGCATCTTGCAGCGACACGGATCCATCGAGAAGATATTGTCTTAGCTCGTCCTCAGTGACAGTGGGCGTGAACACAGCCCCATCCCGCTTGCCTTCCAGCAACTTGCGCGTCACGTCCCGGAGGCGCCAAATCTTGGTGTGCATTTTCATGATCTTGTTCTTCATCGACTTCTCCTCACGCTCTTGACGAGGCGGCAAGTTCTCGCCACGTTCATCTTTCAGCACACGATCCTCGAAGAATTTGTTGAAAACCTTCACCACGGCCGAAGCTCCGGGAAGTTTGATGTTATGTCCAGCTTCGGCGGCAGCCTTGACCTTGCTGTGAAACAGCAGTAACCAGGCTTCTTCTTCGGGGTGAAAGAAAGCTTTTGCCTGCTTCATCTTCTTGGTTCGTAGGTACTCTTCAGCAGCAGCTGGCTCATCGTCGCCTGTAACGTTTCGCGTGTCGATACAATCCACTTGAGTGTCAGATGCAGTCAAGACTGTGATAGCGTCTGCAATCGTCGCGCCTGTGCTAGTGCCTGTCGAGCCTTGTGCATGCTTCGGTTGAATGAGTGTAGCTGACGGACCTGCAGCGAGCTGATTGACCTGACTAAGCGATGCGCATCCAGTCCATCCTGCGTGCCGGAAGTAAGAGTCGTAAACGAGTTGAGCGCTTGGAATATCGGCGACTGTCGTGTGACCGTCGTTGTCATCGCTCGCATCGATGCTGCTGTAATTTATGACCTTTGCTGCCGTTTGATATGAGCTGCTTTCTCTTTCATGACACGCGAGAAGCTCTTCGACATCGGCATTAGCTGCTGTTGCATCGTCGTTTGAAGCTACCGTATGCCACGAAGGATTCTCAAATGGAACCCAGCCCGACGTCGAGAGCATTCCAGTCGTGTACCGGGAAGTCTTCAGGGTGCGTCGGTTGAATACTTGGCTCGTTGCCGCTGCCTTGATTGGCAGTCCGACGCCGGTCGTAGCAGGAGCTTCCTCCGCGCTCATGGGGTATGCTGTGGGCTGATTGTTATATGTATCGCGAAGGGAGATCGAGTGCCTTCAAGTAGTGCAGTTCGATTTGGTCGCTAAGTTGGACAGAAGAAAGTGAGAGATGTAGCGCGAACGACGTCGTGACTAACGAAAAACAAGTGAAGGTGAGTTTGTGTGACTCTCACTTAGCGTGACTTTCACTTAACGTGAGCCTCTCGTTCCACGCTCGTTCAGTCGCCGCTGCAAGGTCTTTCGTGTACAAAAAGCTTGCCTGAAATCCATTGTTCTCATCAACGTCCGTTCCAACGCTGCTCCTACAGAGTCTCGAAGCCGCAATTGGCCAGCCTCTTGGATCGACTTTCCTTTCTTCAATTTCGATTACCCGCTCGGCAACCTTTCTATGCTGCTCAGAGTCCCAAAGCCCCTCTCGTGGCAAGTTCAAAGCCAGCAAGTCAACCGCTTTGCGGCGCGTCACGGGGCAGCGACAGCGTATGGCCACGTAGAATAGTGCAGGGATGAGCGCGGTGTCGAAGACAAAATTAGCGGCAGCATCCAGTGGTGATAATGGTGCGTGGCAGTTGTTGAAGTTAAAAGAACCGACTAAGTATTCAGCGTGCGCAACGAGGGACATAAAGTTCTCGAGGTGCGCATCGAACGCCATCTGGGTCTCGTCCATGATGCAGGAGACGGCGGTGTAGCTCGAGTAGTATCCGATTTTGAGGGCGCTGAGAGAGTATGTGGCGTCTTTGGCCCATTTATCTGTACGCTCCAGCGATTTCAGAGCTTGAAGCCAGACACGATGCTGGTTCAGAAGGTCAGTCTGACGATGATAGTCTGACGCCGCGATTGGTATCGATCCGTACAGCTTGATGGCCATATCCCGTGCTAACAAGATTGCGGCATTTCGCAGGTCAAAGAAGGACGCTCGAGCATCAGCAATGTGGGTAAAAACTGTGCCTGTATAGTAGCTTGGGCACGACTGTAGGAATTCAAAGTCCCTTTCAATGCTGGTACCATATGGGAGGGCAGAAGCTAGAGCTTGCGTGAGGATTGGCACCATGATTTGCTCAATTTCATACAATCGCGCACTCATCTGACCCTGACTTGCCGCCGCAAGGCCGAACCTCGAGCGGCCAGCTTTCTGCTTTCTCAGCTCGTGAACAATGTTCAACCCGCTTCTGACGTGGGTGAACGCCATGTTTGCGTCGGCTTGCAAAAACTCAATGCACGCGAAAAGCAGGCATATCACCAAACCTGCTTCCGCGGAGAACGACGGTTTAGCTATGTCATCAATGAGATGTCTGATAGCTTTGTTGTAATTAATCCAGAAGGGCCTGCGCTTAAGATTATTTGGTCTGTTAGCAGATCGACGAGCGTCTTGCAGGGTACCACTTTGGCTTTGATTAAGATGACTCAAGGCTATCAACGCGTTGCGAACACCAGGCTCGACATGTGCTATCTGGAGTATCGAACGCGACCAAAACTCAGTATCGAACCTACCAGAAAGCTTGGGTCCGATACAGTGGTAGTAAAACTCCAGATGGCGCATGTCGTTGCCAAAATCAGGAAGTGAAGCAAGGGCTTTGCTGGGCCACGCCGACTTAATCTGTCCATAGCTGGATGCATGGGTCTGGAGATCCCTCTGGTTTTGAGGGTACCCGTCACATTTACGGCCTGTACTTGAACATCTAATTATGTCAGACAACAGAAGCGCAGGCCTGAGACTAGACGCACTTTATGCAACTGGGCCGGCTCTCGTCGCATTTGACACGTCGTATCCTGCAAGTTCTGCACCCAGTCTTCGTCTTTCTGTGAGCCCTAAGGGCAGGTTTTGAGACATTGGTGTCTAGGACAACTTGCATTCAGTCAAGTTGCACGTTGACGTTTGGCGAGATGGAATCTAGAAAGAATAGAAGGGGTTGTTGTGACGCGTTCAGGAGGACCGAGGCTGTCCCGGCTTCGGGCGAGACTCCGCATGATCGGGGTGGCTTACGTAACGTTTTAGCGTGCTTGAAGACCGGCGACACAGCTGAACGAACAGAGAAGCGACACGCATGTTCGCATCGGTAAGTTCGACCGGAAACGCTTGAACTCCGGCTATGAGTATCACTCATGGACTCTGCAACACATTCCGAGATTGCGCCCTGTGCAGACACTGACCTAGCTCTTGACAATCATGACCAGACTGCACACATTGCCAGGTCAAGAAAGAGGAAGATTCCTCCGGTTGCCGATTCTCTGACGAGTCGCGCCACATATCCACGAAAGCGATCCGTCACCGCATGCCGATTGTGCCGTGCTCGCAAGACGAAATGTAACAATGACCGACCGGTTTGTTCAAAATGTAACGAGCTTAATGCGCAATGCACCTATGACGAAGACGATCCCAGTACTGCTTCGTAAGCCAGGAGCAGCGTTGCTTGGTTCAAGGCTGTACTGATTGAATACAGAGCTGTACCCGCCAGCCAGATCCTCGACCGGTTGGAATATTTGATCAATCTAGTTGAAGTCGCATCTCCAAGTAACAATCGCAAGGAGAGTCTGAACATCACCACCGCCGTTCACAGATCCGAGTGCACTCCGGAAGACAATGATCTAGAGATACGTCAGGTGTACTTCGCTTCCAGCCAAGACATCCTCGACTGGCCTGTTTTCGAAGGCAAGTATGATCGCCGTTGGATTGAAGCCTTGGTTTTTGATCCTACGCTGCCTTGCGACGACCTCGATCTGAACGAACCGTGCACCTCGCCAAGGGTAATCGATGACTCCATACGAGATAAATTTGACGATCCGCGCCAATCAGCGGGACTAGGAGTCGGTGTACGTGAAGATGATGTCCCACACCTGGTCGAGACATTCCTGGTGAACGTGCATGTGAAAAATCCAATATTCGACCCAGGCTACTTAAGAAATATGGCAAAATGTGTGGCTGAGCATGGGTTTGATTGGAAGCCGTCGAGCTGCCTCGTGGTTCGTGAAGCTGCATCATTTCATTAGAACAGTACTGACAATCACTCCGCCAGCTACTTGTGTGCGCTCTAGCATCGATCTCGTCTCGATTCGCTCGTCGATTAACATGGACACCTGATGACGTCCGAAATGGCTCCGAGACCAGTCTTTCCTGTACGCCTGGGTACCAGACTGCTGAGTCGTATTACACAGCAGCGTGTAAGCGGCTTGGCCTACTCAAAAATACCCTGATTGCAACCGAATGCTATTTTGTGGCTGGGGTGTACGAGATGTATTCACTGCGGCCGTTGCAAGCAGCAGTCTCTTTCAATCGGGCGTGTGTGACCTTTCAAACGCTTACGTGGATGCGTAGCGAGTATTACGCGACTGGAGATCAATTAGGGAAAGCCAGAGCCAGTCGACTATACTGGTCTTGCTTGAAGTCGGAGCAGTAAGTATTTCGAGTCTGCCTGCGAAGTCACTCCTGACGTTCTGGCACAGCGAAACGTCTATCGAGATTCGATTCCCATCGTCTGGGTTAACAAAACTGAATTATACAAGCCACTTCCCTGCACCTCCTCTTGCAGCAACATCAGAGGATTTCTATCGTGTGCATAGCGACTTTGGCCTTGAACCCGATTCTACAAGTCCAGCAAGAATCCATAGTGAGTTCGAAGAAGGTTGGTACTACTACTTGGCGGACATAGCTGCTCGCCGAATACTGCAAAGGGTGATCAGCTCTTTCTACGACACTGGAGCAGCATGGCTCGATGAACCCTTTCAAAGTCTGCTTCAAACCGCGGAAGAGCTCGATAGGCAATTACTTGAATGGTTCGTCTGACATCGGTCGCCACCTAGTACCTACCTGACATCCATGTGTAGGCATCGCACGCTTCCAGAAATTGTTTCATTTGACCATGACATACCTGCAGACTCTGAGCTTGCTTACCACCTGCAAGCCCGAGCTCTTGAAATCAGAGAACGTATATATCGTCCTTTCCTATTTCGATGCATCCACAGGCCTTGTCAGTCTGCGGAGAAACAAGCAATAAGCCCGCTTATACAACTGCATGCATCTGTCTGCGTTAGGCTGATATATCACTGGGACGTCCGTCATCGTCATCACGGCACATGGCTCATGGCCAGACAAAGCTTCACTTCAGCGCTGCTACTTCTGGCTGCACAACGATCTGGGCTCCGCGAAGCTGACAAAGAATCATGTGAACGAAGCATCCAGCACACTATCTCAACACTGCGTTTCTGGGAGTCCGAAGCACCTGATCTCCAGGCTTCTCGGCTCATTCTGGAGGACGTCAGTAGCCAACTACGCATGATACATATTAACACCTGATGTTGCGATGAGATTTACGATCTGGGCAGTCAGTCAGCACTGAGAGGTCATACGTCATCGCTGCCGAGTACAAAGCAGAGCGAGACATACTCGCGGCTGATAAGGTGGCTACAGAGCCTTGAGATACAGAACCTTGAATTTGTACCAAGGGCGAGGAATGTCTGCTTCTATTCATGGACCCCAGGCTACGAGAAGCATCGGAGAACATAGCAGCAATACGAAGCTGCCTAAGTAGAAAATTGCACGGGCTTGAACAGCGAAGAGAACATCAAAGACGCGGAAGGCAATAGAGTTGGAAACGGATACATTGCCGAGGACACGGGGCAAATTACAGCTCCATTTAGCAAAAGACGCATGAGCTCTTCACGAAATCAGCCGAACAAAGATCGCGTAGGATTAGGTTGCGGGGTGGACGCGCTTCTCGCGTCAATCATCTCGCTCCTCTCCACACTGTATCACCGTATGCTGCAGTTGTATACAGTTCCAAGCGGTTTATGACGTTACTTTGGATTGATGCAGACCTCGTTCGCTTGTGGCCTGCGAGAATCCAATACTATGTGCAGGTAATTGGGCTTGATAGACCACCGCCAGGAAAACAGCACCACATCCAGGAAACCAGCGTCACACGCAGGCAGACCTTGATACAAATCGACTGTTTGTTGTCTGTGCTGGTCCTCATCATTGGTATCTAAGTATTTGAAAGATTGAATACATCCAAGTTGTTCATTTCCGCAGGAGCTATAGCCAATGTGACTTATACACCACATGTACGAGGAAATACGCCACTACATTCGTGCATGTCAATCCTGCCTGAAGTATCGTATCATAACTCTCGTGTCCCCTCAACAACACCATCTTGTTCCTTTCCGTCTCCTTCTACTTCTATTTCAGAGCTCCCGCGGTCAACACCCATGATGATTTCTCCTGTCGAGCCCTCAAACCTTGACGCAATTTCCTCGAGCGTGAGGCCCTTCGTCTCCACAAACGTGAAATATGCAATGACCAAGAACACGAAGTCCCATGCGGCGTTAATAAAATAGAATTTCCATCCCAGGTCCTCCATCGCATACGCCATGGTAAATGAGGCCAGAAGCCTGTGAGCTTATTGTTAGCGGGATAGTTCTTATTGAATCGCGTCAAAACTTACCCAAAACCACTGTCGAGCATACGAAAGAGTGCGACACCAGCTGCACGTAGTTTGAAAGAGTTCACTTCTGTCGGATACAAGCTTGTCATGGGTGTGATGGAGAACGCGTAGAAGCCTTGGAATAGAAATATCACAGCAATGGTCCCGTAAATTCCAGAAGTGCTCCCACTTTCGCCGAAGTCTGTCAGTCAATTAGTATGCTGGCCAGAACAATTTCGAGGGACCTCGCCCTTGAATGCGTACGTTTGATGAGCCCGCCTATTATCATGAGTGTGACGACCATGCCGCCCACTCCAATGAACGTTTGTACCCTTCGACCCAAAATGTCGAGCATGAAGCTTCCAAAAACAGCTATGGCAAAGGACCAGCAGTTTATTATAACCTGAACCTGGGTTTGAGTCTTCGTACTGGTGACACCGGCTTGAGTGAGAATTTTGCCGAGATAGTATCTATGACATGGAGATTAGAAACTTGAAAGTACCTCAGATTAGGTCGTGGAAGCTTACGAGATGATAAAGTTTCCAAACATATTGATCATTGGACCAAAGATGCATAGAATCACCAATCTTCTCCTGTTGGCCTTCGTTGAGATCATCTCTCTCCATGGATTTCGCGGATATTGTTTCGCTTCTGCGCGTATGGTCTCGCGAATATCATCCAGCTGCTGTGTTCCAGCCTGCATATCCGTATTGTTTTTTCCTTGCATGATGAGCAATACTTCCAGTGCCTCTTCGTTCCGTTCACGAGATATGAGCCAGCGTGGAGACTCCGGGACAAACGGGACGATGACTGCGGCCAAGAGACTAGGCACGAACTGTAAAAGGGAAGGCAGACGCCATGACCACGTGCTGTCGATTGTTTGACTCCCGTAATTCACAATCGCGGAAGCCAGGCTACCAACGTAGAAGCAGGAGAAGAAGAGCCCGAGTATCCTTGCACGATTGCGTGGAGGAAGCAACTCTCCCAGTAGTGTCGGTGCTGCACCGTTACTGATTGTCGAGCCAACGCCAACGATGAAACGCGCGGTGACAAACATGCCAATGTTCTGCGCTGCAGCTTGAAGAACAATGCCGACGACACTCACGATGGAGGCGATGTAGATGGCGCGCCGACGGCCCAAATAGTCAGGCACTGGCTGCATAAGGAATGCGCCAAAAATTCCTCCCATCCACATGGCGGCGTTGTTGAGACCTTCCGTTGCAGTAGTCAGGCGGAAGTACTCAGAGTACGAGGGGAGGATGAGCAAGCCGTTCATGACTGATGAGTCGTAACCAAGAGTCTGTATGCGCGTCAGTGATGAGATGAATGTATGGCAGGCTGATCGAAGAACTCTACTCACAGCAGAGTTTACTATCGTAACAGCCAACAACAACGGCATGAGTAACCGGTGGTCCGCTGGGACAAGTCTTGAGACATGCTTGCGATGGAATACTTCCGCCATTGTGATCGCAACTTGAACAACTTGCTCGTGGAAAGTCGTGAACAGACCACCCGAACATGTACTTAAATAGTCGTGGAGAGACACTGGGATTCTGTCTCTAAGAGATAAGAGGTGGAACTCAGCAATTCCAGCGGAGCTGTCCGTAGGTGTCTCGTCTGGTCTTTGTTTCGGAGATTATCGTAAATACTTTTGAGCTACACCTGGTAGGTAAGCTCCTAGTTTGATACGCGCGCGATAACACATTTCGCTCTGAGAGAATGGAGAAGTAGATATTCAGCCATCACAACCGATTTGGGGTTTAAAATCTCGCCCGAGCTCGTCCGACTCGCCCACTTTACGGGAGCAATGCTGATCGCGGATTGGCTGATTCTCGGATAAACACCCGTCGACTAACACCTTTGTGCTCATGGGGTATAACAGGCTTGAGAACTAGCCCGAGCTCAACCGAGTCGATTTACATCTTCACTGTTCCCACGGATATCGAAGATAACAAATTATGACGCCAGCTCTACAAGACGACTTTCCCGCAAACTCTTACTACACAGTATCGACTGATCGCAGCACTCATTCCACACTAAAACACAGAAAAGAGAAAGCAAGTTCGGAGGAACTGACTTACATGCCTTCTGTCACGCAAGAATGGCCAGCCTGGCCTGAGTTCGCTTCCCCGGACCCCGCAGAATGCAAAGATGACAGTCTCTTGTCGATCAAGAAAGCCATCATCGCTGAGTATGGCGTCGATGCCCTGCGTCAAAGTTGGATCAAAGTCTGCAGCGAGCTTCAAACTATTACCGACGAGATAATGATCAAGGGCAATACCATCATTCCAACTTTCGACACTGCACGCATCCTCGCGAGCGGTTTCAGTGACTCAGACAAAGCCGAGATCGAGCGTATCGGTGCCTTCGTGTGCCGGAGGACGATCCCGGAGGACGAGACAAACATACTATACAAAGACATGTCTGAGTATGTCCAAAAGAACAAAGAATACATCCAGAGTTGGCCGGTCGAAAGTCCCAGTATGCTGGTTTTGTACAATTCGCCCACACAAAACACAATCCGATCACACCCAAACCACCTCCGCTTGCAACACAGATTGAATCAACTTTGGCACGGGTACGATACGAGCGAGGGAACATCGCCTGAGCCTGTCGTCTACTTCGATGGCCTTCGTGACCGCGCACCCGGTCAGCCCTTCCTTGGGCTTGGGCCGCATATTGATGCCGGCAGCCTCTGCCGCTGGGCTGATTCGAACTATCGGAGAGTCTACGAAAGCATCCTTCGTGGTAGACCAGAAGATCATGATTCGTTTGATATCGGTCTCCGGAAAAACGCAGACCAGGCGCTCTACACAGCCATGGCGCACTCGTCTGTGTTACGAACCTTCCAAGGATGGACGGCTTTGACCCCCACGCAACCTCGCGAAGGAACGATAATGGTGTATCCCAACCTTAACACTGTCATCGCGTATGTGGTGTTGCGTCCTTTCTTCCAGCCTCCAAAGGACAAGGGAAGTGACGTTATGGACCCGAATAACTGGACAATGAGCAGTGACGATGACCCATGGTTTCCTGGCACATTCAAAGAGCAGAGCCAGCGTCTGAGTCGAGTTTCTCATCCACACCTGCGACTCGAGGACTGTTTGGTGCACATGCCAAGGGTCAAAGCTGGAGATACAGTATGGTGGCATTGTGATGTGAGTGTTGAATCCATCACGTGGCCTGCCAGTACACGGAACTGATGATCGTAGGTCTGCCATGCAGTTGACACCGAGCATCTGGGAAAACAAAACGCAGCAGTAGCATTCATTGGCTCGTGCCCAACGACTCCGACGAATACTGACTATGTGAGGAGGCAACTCACTGCCACCTTGACAGGACATCCCCCACCCGACTACGCTGCTGGTGATGAGACAGACTCAGACGAGAGACGATTGAAGGGGTACATCGGCCTAGAAGGGCTTAGCTATGAGGCACGAAAAGCGTTCGGATTCAACGATGTGTCGTGATGCGGCTTTTGCTAGAAGGCAAGCGTGCGTATGTGGAGATTTTACGAGAAACCGATCTCATCCATTCTTTCCCGAAGCACCGTAAAGGCGTGACGTGCTAATGCATTACGTGACTCGACCTGTTTCATTAGATCTAATGCTGCATACAGACCTTCGCGGTGCTCGCTTTGAAAATTTGGATCGTCATCTTGCCACTCCCGGAGGAGTACGATTGCGGCCGTAAAGATATGGTAGGATAGGGCCCTACAATCATTGAGAATGTGAAACGAAAGCATTGAAATAGCCCCTACACGCTGGGGGCATACATACCACTGCTTTCTCATCGATGATGGTTGATCCCAGTTCTTATGGATCCAGATTATGCTGGTGGCGGATCTGACGGTAACAGTTCTTGCCCAGTCGGTGTTAATCACACCTGGAGTCGACAGCCACTGCACCTGAAGAGTCCTGTTTATTCGAATGCGAAGATGCAGAAGTACGAGGGTAAGATCAAAACGTTGCCACTTGATCCATGACTCAGACAAATCAGTCTCGTGCGAGGCGTCTTTGCGACCTGCTAGCTCCGCATCTGGCTGGAGATGATTCGGTAGCGTAACAATGATACCCGCAAGTTCTTCATCTGCAAGTCTCACAGCCCGAATCATAGATTCAAGTGAAGTGACTCCAAGTCGTACGGCTCTACAGAAGCGATGATAGACCTTTGACGCTCTGGCCATGAAGATGTGATAGTGTACGGGGTGTTCTCTGGTTTTATTAGAGTCGGTGGAAGGCGAAAGAATTGGAGGTTGGGGATAAGGGATGTCGAAGTCGAAGTCGTTGATGGCTGGAGGACGATAGGGATGTCGTAACCTAGTTTAAAGTCAGATTGAGGCATACCATTCGACAAAACGGAGGCTTAAAGTTCAAACAGGATGACTGATGTAAGATCTGCACCTTACCATTCGCATATGACCAGAGTCCACCAGAGGCGATGCTGCGCTTCTTCGCTTAGTTGCTCGGTAGCCACTTTTGAGACCGGTGCATCGAGGCCAATCGTCTTTGCATTGAGTATCGCACATGACCACAGATGACCACCAAAGTCGGACTCCCCGAAATTGTTGCAGCAGATACCTAGAACAGCTATTGCCTGCACAGACCGTATACCTGGTGTTTGCATAAACTCGGCTTGACGTAGACAAAATACCGCTGCATTGTACCAGTTTCGACTAAGGGTATGGTGTGAGATGGCTGTGACCGTCAGCTCCGATTAATTTGAGATGAGGTCTGATCAGCGAACTCGCGTACATTCGTTTACGGCAAGCCCTGCAGCTGTCTTATCGTCCGTCATGAGTAGTGCTGCCTATTATGTATCGCGTTTGAGCTCATTTGGTCTTCTCACATCTGACAAACTGAGGGACATACACTGAGAACACTGAAATATACCGCTAACCAGAGTGGATCCAGTTGCGCAAGGGAAGCCCCGCTCACCATTGCTGCTGTGAAATCATCACACTCATTGCGAAATCTTGGATATTCGAGAGCATAATGAATCCAAGAGTTCCACTTCTCGTCGTAATCGATAAGCTGATCGTGGCACGACTTTACTGGCAACACAATGTCATTCCAAGTCATGACCTGTGAATCAATGGCTTGTGGTTCGGATGCTAAAGTGTCCCAAAGCTTTCGGTCTAGTCCGTCCTGGTCATCATCGAAACTCGTCTTCCACTGCTGGTATTCCCACGATTCAATATCTTTCTCGCCGGTCTCTGGTGCGGACAGCAAACGTGAGCGGATGTTTGCTTGGTGTGCTTGAAGTGTTGCAAGTTCCCCTCTTAGGTGCTCATTCTCGCGCTTTAGATCCTCATATGTCGGCTGCTGTAAGCCATCTCGGTAAGCTATAATCTCGCCTCGAACGAGGACTGTTTCTCGGACGCAATCCTCCTGCCGGCCCCGGCGAATACAGGTCCTGCATGGTATCAACTTGTCGCATTTGATTTTGCGGGAAGTGCAAGGGATGCAACTACGTGGAGCGCGTTGTGTCTTCCTCATTAAAGCAATGTAAGAGGATATAGGGGTGTACTAGCATTCAAAAATGTGTTACGTCGGCTCGAGAGCGTTCGTGATGTTGTTGTGAACAACGGATGTTATCGTGGATGACTTATCTGCCCCACACCTTAATGTGGCCTAGCGTCGATAAAGCCGCCCCCACCCTCGCTTGTGTCCGGTCGGTCTCCTCCTTTACTGACAGAATCCATCCTGGAGCTGCGAACGACATCATCTCCACTAGAAGGTTTATGACGCCTCGAAACAGTAATATCATTATCAGCTGGGTATGGGCACAACAACGATCTTCCAGGGGGCCGTCGTACATCCAACAGATCAATCGACACTTGAAGTACTTGACGACGCGACAATCATTGTCACAGACGGTCGCATAGTTGCTTTTTACAAATCCAGCGAGGAAGTCCATCGAATTACTACCCCACTAGATGCTGTCACTCATCATCTGCCGGTCGGCGAATTCTTAATCCCAGGATTTGTTGACACTCATAATCACGCCCCTCAGTGGCCGATGCGAGGACGCGGCCAAGGCTTACACATTCTCGACTGGCTGGACCAGGTTACCTTTCCCGTCGAGGCCCGGTTTGCCGATCCTGCGTACGCAGCCAGCATCTATGAGGACACAGTCGCAGACTTCCTCCGACATGGAATTACTACGGCGTCGTACTACAGCTCGCGGCACGCTGAGGCAACTTGCCTCCTGGCTGATGTTTGTCACCGTAAAGGTCAGCGTGCTTTCATCGGTAAATGCAATATGGATCGTAACGCACCCGACTACATCCGCGAGCCAGACGCTGAGACCTCGATTCGGGAGACAGAGGAGTGCATACAGCATATTCGCGGACTACCGGGATGTGGTAGAATTGAAGGCTCGTCCGCATTGGTCACTCCCGTCGTGACCCCAAGATTTGCAATCTCATGTTCTCCAGAGCTACTACGTGGCCTCGGAGATCTGTTGATAGCAGATGAAATGCTCCCGATGCAAACGCACTTCAATGAGGCAAAGCAAGAAATCATTGCTACAAAAGATCTGTTCCCCGAGTTTAACGGAAGCGAAGCGGATCTCTATGAAAGCTTCGGCCTTTTGAACCAGCGCAGTATTCTTGCACACTGCACAATCATGACGGAACACGAGAAGGAGCGGATCAAAAAGCTGCAGTGTGGTATTGCTCATTGTCCGATTGCCAACATGACCGTAGGAGGTGGCTTCATGGTTGCCCCGATACGAGATTTCCTACGGCGGGGTCTCAAGGTCGGACTAGGTACAGATAGCGGTGGGGGATGGGCTTCACAGATGTTGGCTGTTATACGGCAGACATTGATCGCATCCAACGCCCAGGAAGTGCTTTCGGGCGGAAAGGACAAAGCACTCTTACTCGAAGAGGCTTTCTATCTCGCTACGATGGGAGGTGCCAGGGTCATGTGTCTTGAAGACCAAATCGGCAACTTCAAGGTTGGAAAAGATTTCGATGCGGTGTGGATAACGACAACTTCAGGCCTGAAGTCAGCTATGACACCGGTTGAGCCTTCTGACACATTACGGACGCAATTCGAGAAGTTCATGCTCACAGGAGATGATAGAAATATGGCGCACGTGTTTGTACGAGGGCGTCGGGTAGCTGGTCAGGCTGCAATTGGGTGATAAGTACGTACGTTTGGGCAGCAAATCCTTCTAACCGGGTCATCATGTCTTCATCCTCTGCTCGTCATACCTGATCTAGCGTCGATGCTTCCATGTCCAGTGTTGTATCTTATCATGCTGTTCTCGCACGATAGCCCATATTGACAGAATGACATGCGAGGTCTTGTATCGGCGATGCAGCAAATATCTCTCGTATTTTTCGCATTGCGGCTTGAGATGTTCGCACACTTTTTCTCAACCCCGGCCGATGATTCATGCCGGGCATGTTGAAAAAATGACGGGGAAAGGATTGGTGTTGTAGCAAGTCTCTACGAGATGAAAGGAGGGTCGGTGGAGAAGAACGTGCCAACGAAAGCTGTTGCAAAGAAACTCTGAGTTTGTGACGCCGGTGACAAAGCACACAGAGATGTGGTCAATGTACCCAGCAAGTATACACGGCAGTGTTGATAGCAGACGGTAAAGCCTGCCCACGAAGACTAGGTTTACCAACTGCACGGTTCGCATATTTACCTGTCCTTGACGCAGTAGAACGTTCTCTCCCACAACCAGTTGGTGGAAGATCCCGTTGACCAGCCGAGACACGGCAGCCAGGAGTACCGTGCTGCCCTCAGGATTTCCCAGGCGTCCTTCTAGACTTTACACTTCTGAATCGCTTCGTCCAAATACTCAACAGTGATTCTCTCTGGCACATTCCCCACCAGGCCCGTTTCTCCCTTCGCCTGCCCTTTCAAGAGGATTTTCACCAGCCCCGCCGGGTTCTTGTCTAACATACCGATTCCGCGGCCAGTTTTCTTGTCCATAATCCACCGTTCGGCCCCGATAGAGATGTCGTAATCCTCTCGCACGGGATTGCCCATCACGTTGCAAATGAAGTTCGGAACGTATAGCACATTGCGGAGTACAATCTTGGAGTTTTTAGGGCCGACGTTTCGTTTTGCAGCGTTACCAACGATCCTGCGCACTTCTATCTCGACCGAACCTATGCCTTCTACGGTGTATGTGGTGTTGTTATGCGTGCTGGTGACCTGGGAGGCGAGAGGGGTAAATGTTGTGAACCAGTCGCGGTCGGTTGCCACATGTGTCATAGAGTCGAAGGACCACACCCAATCGACGTTGTAAGCAGCGCCTGATGGTGGCATGATGTGTTGATGATGGAGTGGTGTACCTGCGAGATGGAAGAAGGTACCAGGTAGGCAAAGCTAAAAGGTTGTCCTGCTAGTCAGACCCATCAGCCAATGAACGAGGATCCGAGAAATTCCCACCTTGACCTAAGCGAAAAGCGGCCTAAGTGCGTCTAAAGCGGAACCGTCCCTCGTCTATTGGCGGCCTTATGAAACCCCATATGTATCTTACTGCCAGTGGGAAGCGCAATCTTTCAAGATCGAATCCCAAAGTTGTTAAATAACGGAATTGCAGTATCTCTGTTTATGGAGCACTGTAAACTAGATTTCCGTGTTGATAAACTCCTTAGCCAATCGACTTTACGGCCGTGAGTGTTTTGTTCACACAGGTGTTAATGTACAGCTAATGTACCAGCTACTAGCTACAATACTATCGGCATCACTGCCTTTAGTTTCTCTCTAGTGCTGCTCGCTGTAAAGCTCTGCTGTTGTCTGTAGTTTATAAAGGGCCTCCATGTAGCCTTCAAAGAGTCAAGAGTTTGCCTTGGATATGATCCAGATTACAGTGAGAGTCAAGAAAAGGGAGAATAAATTAACCTCTAGACCTACGTAGAAATCTTCATCAAAACCGTTTTGGTTTCAAGGAAGTTGTTAATGCTGCTGGTGTATCCCTCCCTGCCTACGCCACTGGTTTTCCACCCACCAAACGGCATGTCATGAGCGACTGTGGGAGAGGTACAGTTGATTGCCACTGTTCCTGCTTCCAGGCCCTTTGCGAAGCGCATAGCACGATCAAGGCTTTTCGTGTAGACTGCAGCATACAATCCGTACTCCGTCTCGTTGGCCTTCTTCATAATTTCCTCTTCAGTGCTGAAGGTATTAATGATGACGACGGGACCAAAAATCTCTTCTTTCAGTATTTTTGCATCCTCTGGGACGTTCTTAAAGATTGTAGGCTGGATCACGAAGCCTTGTGCGCCGTCGGGACTGCCGCCACCAGTGACAAGTTCTCCTGACTGCCTACCCGAATCAATGTAGCTACGAACAATTTTGAATTGCACCTCGTCGGCCATAGGTCCATGGTCGGTCGCATTGTTGGTTGGATCACCAATTGTGATTGCTTCGAAGTTCTTTTTGAAGACAGAGATGAAACGGTCCGCTACGGTGTCTTGGACGTAGATTCGGGAATTCGCCATGCATGATTGTCCGCTGTTCCATTGGATGCTGTTCTTGGTTTCTGCGGCAGCCAAGTCAATGTCTGAGTCGTCGAAAACGATTGCAGGGGATTTCCCTCCAAGCTCAAGCATGACGTTTTTTAAGTTGGATTGGGCAGCTGCAATCTGAATCATGCGGCCAGTCCGGGTCGATCCAGTGAATGACAGAGCACGCACGTCGATATGGGACGAGAGACAGGATCCTGAAATATGACCGTGTCCAGAGAGCACATTGATTACACCTGGGGGAAACCCAGCTCGTTCGATCAAGGTTGCCACCTTCGCGGACTATTCTCCGAAATTAGCGCCAAGAACGATCGCAATTTTGTCAAGCCAACTTACCGTTAAAGGCGCTTTCTCACTGCTTTTCAACACAACTGTATTGCCTGCTGCTAGTGCAGGAGCGAGCTTGGAGGAGAGAAAGAAAATTGGCAAGTTCCAAGGAATGATGGCAGCAACAACGCCAAATGGCTGTTTCAATGACACGTTCACATATCCTGGGGTATTCAGACTAGAAGTTCCCTGAACAAGGTAACCTGCCTCAGCAAAATGTTCGAAGTTGGATGCGGCGACCCAAGAGTCCCAGTAGGTCCGGACCGGCCTTCCCATTGAGATGGCCTCAAGATAAGCAAGTTCGGTATGAGCTTCCCTGATCAAGCCGGCCAACTTCTTCATGTAGGCGCCACGCTGTTCAGGAGAAAGGGCGGCCCAGCTTGGCTGTGCAGCCTTCGCTGCTGCGACAGCGGCGTTGGTGTCTTCCACACTGGCTTCGGCAACTGCAAGACACTAGTTATAGGCATACAGTTGGAGTATCTGGAGCAACAACCCACCTTCGGCAACAACATCCATAGTCGATGGAGATTTGAGCTCGAAGGTTTCACCTCCTGAAGCTTTAACGAACTGGTGCATCACGAACTTGTTAGTAGAACGTTCGTAAAACTCCAACCCGGAGGCCTCACATTGCCATTGATGAACAATCGCGTTTCGATTTCTTCCTTCGACCAGGCCTGTTTCTGCATAGCTGACATGTCTTGTTCGTTGTTTTGGGTGGGCTCTGTAAATTGTAGAAGTGATGGTGTAGTTGGAAAGATGTTACTGTGGCATGGAGGGCGTATTATACCTGTGGGGTCGTCTGCTTTGTTAAGATGCTGCAGCTTCATCCATGCTTCACGGACGAGATCTCTAGAGATGTCCGTGTTCGGCAATCGGTGATCCTACACATACCGAACAGCAGTGGCATTATAGCCAATGAACAGTCAACAAGTCAATTCCAAGCGAAAATTGCGGGGCCAAGCGACGCAGCCCGCTATACCAAGCTCCGTCGACGGCACGTGCAGCACCAGATTGCAAATCAGGTTCTGGTCTGTGCTCTAACAAGTCCTCACCCGGCGATGCAACATTCGCCGCGCCGAAGGAGTGCACATCCGCCGAGTCACGATGGATTCACCTGATTGGCCGCGCCGCACGATCTGTTTTCCTGTCAACATCATCTTGCGCCGAGCCGAAATGGAAATGGAGCAATACAAGGCGAACTTTTTTTTCGACTATGGTAAAGCTTCCGACGAAATCGCAAGCGGAGTTTACTTACCTAGGAACCTCTCAAGAGCTACAGTCTCATCAAGAACTTCAGCCACGCGCCTCGTGCCTTAATCGTCTTGTGTTCACCCAAAACTCTCCGCTCGACATTTCTTTCATTTCAGCATGTCCAGTTACAAGACTAGCATCGCTAGCATTCCAGAGTCAGACAGACCAACACCTCCAGAAATCAATCAGATCCCGCCGACAGACAAGCCCGACGAGAAGGCCAATCCTGGTTCTACCTCAGCATGGACTTCGAATGAGGCTCCCGATGGCGGAATGGTCGCGTGGATGGTCGTTTTTGGTGCTTGGTGCACCTCATTCTGCAGTTTTGGATGGATCAACAGTACGTGCACTTCAGCGTTTTGCACAATATCTTCCGAAAACTGAAATGGTGGCTCCCTTTAGGTATTGGTACTTTTCAACAGTATTATTCAACAGAGCTTCTGCCACAATACTCGCCCGGAACCATATCCTGGATCCCCTCCTTGCAAGTCTTCTTCATGTTCGCCATGGTAAGTATGCACGCCATGTGGACTATCTGCAGGACTCTGACAGTGGTTTAGGGTCCAGTTGTTGGCAGATTATACGACCGTTATGGGCCACGATACCTTATAATCGCTGGTACCTTCCTCCACGTTTTCGGATTGATGATGGCATCCATCTCAACAGAGTACTATCAAATCATGCTCTCGCAAGGCGTCTGCAGTGCCATTGGCGTGTCACTCATATTCCAGCCAGGTACGTATCTGGGGAATAATCTTATGAGATTCATGATTTCTGACCCCACTAAAGCATTGAATGCCATCGTCACCTGGTTCGATAAGAAACGCGGCATAGCCTACGGCATTCTTTCCACTGGATCTAGCATCGGCGGCATTGTCTTTCCCATCATGACTAGTCGTCTTATCCCTTCTCTGGGTTATGGATGGACGATGCGTGTTTCTGCCTTTCTGATTCTCGCTCTGCTCATTCTCGCCATGTTGACTGTCAAGTCTCGATTTCCTCCTAATATGCAGCGCATAACCAAGGAACAACTTGCCGCCCCGTTCCACGAGCCAGAATTTCTAGCTCTCAATACTGGACTGTGTTTGTTCACATTTGGGATGTTTATTCCTATCAACTATCTTGCAGTGGAAGCTGCTGCCAATGGGATGAGCCCAGATCTGGCGCGATACCTCGTTGCTATTTTCAACGCTGCTAGGTCTGTCCTCCAATACCGGTCCTCGTTTGGAAGCATTAGCTAATGATGGATTTGCGCACAGTCTATTTGGCCGTCTACTCACTGGAGTTTTAGCCGACCGCATAGGCAAATACAACGTATTTACCCTAGCCGCGTCCGCTACAGGCATAAGTACTTTAGCCTTGTGGCTTCCAATTGGACGAGACAACGATGCTGCGCGTATTGCATACGCCGTCCTATATGGATTCTTCTCTGGCGCCTATGTCTCCCTAATCGCAGGTCTGGTGGCACAAATCTCTCCAATGAAGGAGATCGGTTTCAGGACCGGGCTGGTGTTCTTCGTCAACAGTATTGGAGCCTTGACGACATCCCCCATTGCCGGTGCTATTCTAGACCAGGAGAATGGTATTTGGACAGGAGTCAAAGTCTTCTCTGGTGTTTTTTGTATTGCTGGCACGGTGTTTGTATTTGCAGCCAGGGTCTATAAAGTTGGTTGGAAGTTTAACGTCTTCTTCTGATACTAGCAAAACCATCACTCCACCGCACCAATGCCCGCAGAAGTTTTCTTTCATTCTATGTAATTATCTTCATTTGATGTAGTTTTGTCGATAGAAATTGTGAAACCATCGTAATGCTTGAAAACATAGAAACCGTATTCTAGGGGTCATGTCGAGGAGCCAAAAGCTGACGAGTCAAAAGCTTCCCACATCGACATCGTCAATCATCGAGTCCCAGTACATATGATCGAATGCGTCCATACTCCAGTCCATGCTTGAAAGAAATTGTCCTCCGTAAGCACCACTTGCTCCACCAACATCAACTGTAGTTGCTGCCTCCATATCAAAGCTTTCCTGCATATCAGTTCCCCCGACATTCTCTCTATTGACGACAACCTCTCCCTTTCCTCTCCCTAATACAGCAACTCTGAGTTTCATTGCTTTCTCTCTCAATCTGCGTAAAACGGTCCAATTCCCGCCCCCCTCGTCAGGGATTGCACTCGCAAAGCAAGCATTTGCTAACATCCACGCCTTGTCCGTATCAGGACCCTCAGGCGAGACACACAAGTATCGAAAAATGAACATCAGCACATGATACTGAGGATAACTCTGTGTGTTCCATTGAAATCCTTGAAGCATGTCATCGGTTCGAAATTGTTCGCTAATCTCTAGAATTTTGCAGGCGTGAAGGAAATCTTTTTCCGCTTTTTGAAATGTCTCTGTCGCTTCTGTCGGAGTAGAAATTGTTGCAAGCGTTGGGGTGTGGTGTCGTAGCCATATCTGGCGGGTAACAAAATCAAGCTTGCTAGGAAGCAGCTTACCAATCAGATATGCCATGCGTTGAATTGGAATATTCTGATCGCAATATTGCAAGTACTCCATATCAAATTGTGTTCTGAGCGTTTGGAACGCTTGTTGCCGGGCCAATTCAGTAGGATGGCTGCTAGTGAGTGAGGTGCTCAGAGATAGTTTTCGGAGAACGTTGTGTGCTTCGATTACCATTAGAGTAAATGACATATCAGTCCATCCCGGTTTTACAATCGGAGGGCGTTCCATGGTCGGATAGAGTTCGCCGTCGTCAACATTTGAGGGGAATGCAACATCGATTGCGCTGTCGGGTGTGTAGATCTTTAGGCCGTGATCTTCAGTTACTCGGGAGTCGTTGGTAACAATCAGCCACCATAGGCGTCGCCGCATCTCGCATTCAAAGGGCGGAAGCTTGAAGTTCGTGCCATCACGGTGAAGACCAATGGACTGAGCTGACCGGGTAACAAGTCCATTCAAGGCCCAGATAGCTCGACCTCCACGGGATGAGCGAGAACAAAACTACAAGGGATTAGCCATGCATTATTGGACTACCGCCCTGCTTACCAGGTACAAAGTTATCGCCTGCAATGTCATTAATGTCGGGGTGTCTAAGAAATCTGCGGCAGCGAGCGAATGCTCCAGTCCCTGCTTGAAGGTGTTTAAAGCGGTGTTTTTGGCCTGCCCGAGGAGATGCGTTACATGATCTGAATCCAAGCTCGCCACTCCGGCAAAGTATATGGCGAATTGAAGAGCACTAACTCTGGGGTTAACATGAACAGGATTGTTGATTGCGCCGTAGATAATGCCCTGGGTCGATGGGATATGGAGGATCTTGAAGAGCGGGTCAACATTATTGACAAAAGCTTGCCATAGTTGTACAGCACATGGTCGAGACGGATGATTGTAACCGCTCCCCAGAGATGGTCTATGGAAGGCGGATAGAAGCGGATCAATTTCCAGGCAAGCGGAGTAGTGGGAGTCACTTCCGGCATGCTGGTTCTCGATCAAGAGCTTGATTTCTTGCTCCTGTGATACATGTCAGGAGAGGTGATTAACAAATAGATTGAACAAACCTCTTCCATGACTTGAGAAAGGAGAGCATCGTTGAAATAGCGGCTTGAAGAGTCACCTTGAACGAGTCTTTCTTCACTTGATACGCCAACCACAGAAGAAACGCTAGGGTCACTGGAGTTGACTTCGTCGGCAGTAGGCGGACGAGGAGTAGAAATAACTTGTGTAGCCGCGGGACCATTGGTAAGGGCACTGATAGTTCTTTCAAGCCGGACGAGACGCGCCGAGACATCAGCAATGGTCCTCTTCTGTGGCCTGCGAACAATTTGTTCCGGCGCCGGATAGTAACACAAGACGTCGGCGCGGCTACAGTTCTTACACGGTGACTTTTTGTCGCATCGGATCTTCCGTTGATGACATAGTAAACAGGATCGGTGAAGCCTTCTTTGCTTTCCCATCGTTGGAGCAGGCAAAGTGCTGGCTGTGTCCTGAGCGTCGGCCATGATAGACAATTGTCCCACGTGACTGGGGCAGCTGACGTTATCTATCAACATGTTAACGTGAATGTACTCGACGGCCTTCTATTAGCTACCGAACACCGACCTACTATACGCTTCCACTACATCATATGGGCAGAAAGAAGCATTGTTCTACCGAGCACGCGCTGCGTAAGTTCGGAACTGGGGACAAGTTGCACTTTGATCACCAGTTGGATATTACTAAGCTAAGCTTGATAAGCACTAACAACGGGCCGATGTTTTGCCTAGACAACCTACGAACCATGTTCCGCGACTAGCATTAGCGAATCACAACCAGCGACCACAAAGCTGTCCGCTTACCGCATGTGCAAGTCTTGTGCAATTTTCACCAATCTGAGGGATGTTTGTGCCAAAACATTCGGGCCTTTCGCAACATAGGATGTTTTGGTACTTACAAAAAGCCATGAAATTCATGTTTACGGGCATCTTTAAGTTATTCGAGACACCAAATACTAGGACGCATATTATATCAACACAATGGCAAGCGTATACGGCTCGTTTGAAGACCGCTTCAAGGCAGTGCCAGCGCTCCTGGCGGCAAGCATCGCAGAGGGCAACGACATCGGCGGTTCTATCTTTGTCAATCTTGACGGCAAGGAAGTTGTTAATATCTGGGGTGGATACATAGATGACACTCGCACGCGCGAATGGCGGGAAGACACTATTGTCAACGTCTGGTCAACTTCAAAGACTGTTGTAAGTCTTGCAGCACTTATCTGCATCGAGAAGGGCCTTCTGGACCCATTCGAAAAGGTCGCAAGATACTGGCCTGAGTTTGGCGTGAACGGAAAAGAAGATGTCGAAGTTAGGCATCTACTGAGTCATTCGTCTGGCCTATGTGGCTGGGCGCGAAAGGTTTCGGTACAAGATATATGCAATTTGGACGAGGCGGTAAAGATGCTTGAACAGCAGGCGCCCATGTTCAAGCCAGGCAGCGCATCTGGATATCACGGGATCACCATGGGTCCTCTGATCGGGGCCCTCGTATCCCGTGTGACAGGCAAACCCTTTGGGCAATTTGTTCAGGAAGAGCTCGCGCAACCACTGGACGCAGACTTCCAGTACGGCGTCAAGCAAGCAGACTCGAGCCGCGTTGCCACCCTTAGCGCCCCACCTCCATGGCACTTGCCAGACACGGAGATTGACTACACCCATCCTTCCAGTTCCTTAGGAAACCCGGCCATGGACGCGACCGAAGCCAACAAGCCCCTCTGGCGGTCTGCGGAGCTCGCAGCGTCGAACGGACATTCTAACGCCGCGGGCGTTGGACGCATCATGTCGACTATTTCACTTGGAGGCACCGTTGGCGGACGACAATTCCTCTCCCCTGCTACCATCGACCTTATCTTCCAGGAGCAGCAGAACGGACGAGACCTCGTCGTCAACCAGAACATCAAATGGGGCATCGGTTTCGCGTTGACAGGAAATGGTACCATCATGGAGTGGTTGCCCGAGGGTCGAATCTGCACATGGGGCGGTTGGGGCGGGAGTGTAGTGATCATGGACCTAGACCGGAAACTGACAGTGACATATGTAATGAACAAGATGGACGCAACTCTTCTTGGCGGAACTCGGACCAAGGCATATGTTCAGGCTGTGTATGCGGCCTTAGGAGTTGCGATAGAGCTACCGCTAGATATGTAATAAAGCTACACAAGACGGGAGAGTGGAAAGCTGTATTTCAGTGTTTCGCTTGTTGATTCTTCATACATAACGAATGTCTTCACACACCTATGTTTGCGTTGCACGTGCAGTGCGGCCAGGCGCGAACGCACGCTCAGGTGAGGACGGGCAACGCCCACCAATTTACCCGCACCCTCATGTAGTACCTAGAACACTAGCAAGAACAGGGCGGTGTTGCTCCTAGACACAGCAATTGTGTGCTGGAGGTGAGATGACATCGCCGTCATCGTATAGCGTTGCTTCGAGCCAATAATCAGCATTCTAACGTCATTACTCAACCATCCACGCAGGACCCTAGAAAATGAGCACTCTGCTGCGGAAGCCTGATCGGCGGTCTGCATAGCCACGATGCTGGTAAGATTCAATTTAAGCTTTTTGTTGAACATTGCGTAATTCTTGGCCAATCCTTAAGCAGATCTCTACCTGGTACACAGTGGTGGTGGCTATGCCTCACTCTCAGCCACTGCTTCGGCCTCTGTACCTCGGCCGTGTATCCTTCCACAGACAAAAATAACGGTCCTGCGTTCGCATTCTCGACCAAACAATTCTCTGCTCTCTTCCCAGCCTAAGCACTGCTCTCTTTCATTTTGTACTATTGTGCTACGTATCGACACGGCCAACGGCTACCATGGTCATTGCGAAAATCCTGGGAACAATCAATAAAGGCCTTTCTACTGGCATTGACCTTACTGGCATTGACCTTACTGGCATTGACCTTACTGGCGAAAAGTACTATGATCACAAAGATCGCAAGGCAGGGCTTGCTGACGAGCAGAAAACTCCAATGCAAACGTGGGGAAACTAGTCGATCTTATCGAATCAGGTGGTGAGACTGCGGATGGTGAGCGCACCTGGACTTTGGATGAAGCATCGATTCCTCCAGAGTACGAAGCCTCTGAATCTGAGCGCGGGGTTGGTGTCCAAATTGCAGTCTCTGACCTGGTCCGTGATGTCACCACAACGTGAGAGAATGAGGTGGAGGGTCAGGATGAGGCTTCCATAAGACTGCCCTATCCAGTGATCATCCCGCAACGCCGGCCTGGAACAAAATTACTCGGTTGGGCTTGAGCATACCCTCCCGATCTCCAAAGATTTGGTATCGAGCAAGGCACATTTCTTGAGTGTCTGCATGATTTCGAGTTTGCGCAAGAAGCTTAACCTTGGCTCAGGACTGTATACATTGGCGCAAATGTAGTAGGCATGATTCCAGAAACTATTACCATGGCTGTATCACTTTGTGTATCAACCATCGACGGGTGCGTGTGAATCACTTACATTGGGGCTTTAACTTGCACTCTCAAGGGCTGCGATTGAGCTACACGGGCGTTACAAAGCTAATGCCATTTCTGATTATATTAAAAGGGAGTTATTTATGCCACTTGGCCTCTATGCTATTGTTTTAATGCATAACTAAGTTGTATATTGCTTTAGCTATTCTTCTATAGATCTTAAGGGTATATATCTTGTCCTACTATAATTATTTAAGATAGAGTGCAAAACTAATAGTGCTATTGCGCTTAAGGCTATCTTGCAACATTATTTCTAGAATTGCGTAGTTACTACCTTTAGGAGTCTAATATAGAATAGGTGCTATGCTGCTTAGATTGCGCATTCTTTTGCGCACCTTAGTAGCAAGAATATTAAATTCTGCTAAGTTAATTTAATCTGCTTAAAACACTATAATTAGAGGTAGCACCTAGAATCCTAGATAATATAGTACTCTATAGTAGATAGGGAATAGGATATTATCTATTAGGCCTTAGAAGCTGCAAGTAGTATAGGCTAATTCCTAGCCCCCTAATATTATAACTAATATTACCTGCTTCCCTTTTATACCTCCCTTACTAGTCTACTCCTTATTATTAAGTTCTCTTATATTATATATAAAGCTGCCTATAAAGACCTAATTAATCTAGCCCTTAAGAATTGCTAAGAAGTTAAACTACTAGAGAGGGAAGATAAAGATAATTATATCTGCCTATAGAATTTTAGCTTGCTCTATCTTTATATCTTCTATTAGGCTGTCTAAAGTAAAGGTTAAAGAAGAGACTATAGTAATCTAAAACTAGGCATCTATTAGTAGATTAGCAAAGTCCTCCTAATTAATATATAGTTTCTATTTTATATAATAGAGATCTAAGGTCTAGGTCTTATAGCCTTATTACTTTAATTTATTATATATAACTTAGTACAAGCTATAGATTAGAGAAGGCAGCTCTAGATAGGCAAGAATAAGAAGAACTCTTATTATAAGAAATATAAGATTAGATATAATAGTTTAGGAATACTATATCTTTATATCTTTAAGTAAATATAAATATTAATATATATAGCTATATTTTATTAGCTATTATCTATGCTTTATATCTAAGAATATTTAGACTAAAGCTAATATAAAATACCTATAATAGATATAAAGTACCTATAGTGCAAAATTATAATATTAATAAGTAGGCTAATTTTACCTAGTAGATAAAAGTAGGTTTCTAGACTTAAGTAAAATTAAGAAGCTATTATAGGATAGCAATGCTACCTACTCTATTAGATTGCTAGTAGGTGTTCCTACTTAAGCTAAGTCCCTTAATCTCTAAAGGTAAGGAGATAAAAGATAAGTATATACTCTATTATTGCAGAACTTTACTTAATTATCTAGAAAAGAAAGATCTTGTTAGTAAAAGAAGATACCTTCTAGCGTAAGTATAACTCTAGCTATAATTAGTGTATATCTAAGTTTATTCTAGTTAGACTATCTATTATTATCTTATACTATATTAGCTAATTAACTTCTATACTAAATATAAAATAATTATTACTATCTATACTTTTAAACATGTTATATAATTATATTTAGCTTCTAGCTATAATTTATAATTTAAATCTATCCTAATAGGCTTTTTAGATACTTTAAAATCTTAAATATACTATTACTATTTAAGAGTATTAAAAACTAATTTAGAAGTAACTTATAAGATATAGAAGTAGAATTATATAAGATATAGAACCTATTTACTATAGTTATCTAAAATTTTAAAATAGAAGTTCTATAGATATGCTAAAGCCTTAATTTTAATATTAGTACCTATAGGAAGCTCCTTTACTATAATGCAGGTTCTAATCTAATTATTTAATATTAGATATATTCTAACTTATAATATATATACTAGGTTTATAGAACGCCTTCTCTAGTAGAATACTTTTGCTAAGACTATACTAAAATACCCTTCTATCTTTATACCTCTCTAATAACGCTAGTTAGATATATTAAATAAGTATTAAATCTAGCTTATGCTTTAAGCTCTTAAATAAGACGTAAATCTCTTCTTATAATATGCTGCAGCTATCTATAATATATACTAAAGTACCTTAAGTAGATAATATGCTAAATAGCCCTTAAGAGCTAATTCTATACCTAGCTAATAGTATCTAGATAAGTATATAGAGAGAGTAATTATTAATTACATTCTTTACCTTATATAGCAAGAAGAACCTTCTTACTTATAAGATATAGCTAATATAACTAATTTACTATAATAAGAGTATAGAATAGCCCCTATTAGCTAGAACTAGCCTAAAAAGTTTATTAAGTGTTAACTAAGGCTAAAAGTAAAGTTTAATTAGAAGTATAACTATAAGAGAGCTCTCTATAAGAATTCTAAGATAATATAGAGCTAGTTTAGCCTTATAGCTAATATTAAAGCTAAGTATAGTATTATAGATAAAAATATATATAACTTTAATAAGACTAGCTTTATAATAAGTTAGATTAGCTCTAGAGTAGTTATTATAGATATAAAAGAGCTAGAATAAGCAAAGCAGGTCTAGCTAGGCAATAAAAAGTAGGCTATATTAATTTCTAGTATAAATACTACTAGGTAGGCTATTCTACCTTTTATTATCTTTAAAGGCAAGACTTACTTCTCTAACTAGTATAAAAATAAAGATCTATCTTTAGACTAAGTTATTAGAGTCTTTATAAATAGCTAAACTAACAATAAGCTTAGTTTTAATTAGTTAAAGTACTTTAATAGGTATACTAAGAAGTAGACTCTTAGAACTTACTATTTACTACTTATAAATAGTTATAAGAGCTACTAGTTAGTAGTATTTCTCTAATACTATAAAAATAATAAGATTATTACTTTTATAATACCTATATACTTATTATACCTTTTATAGCTACTTAATATAGGTTATTTTATCTCTTTAAAGTAGAAGTATAGGTATTAGGTAAATAAGCTCTTATATAACTAGATTAATTATATAAATAAGTAGTTATTTCTAGTATACTTTAAAGCAGTATATAATATAATAATAACCTCTAGTAATATCTAGAGAGAGTTCTAAGGCGCTAGACTAGTTCTCTTTAATCTAGAATAGGTTATATTAACCTTTTATATATAGCTATACACTCTATTACTATAACTACCTACTAATAATAAACTCTAGTAGTTTTAAACTTCTAAAAACCTAATTAAATTTAAGTTATAATAAACGCTAATTTTAGATAAGTATAAGAGGTAGTAAGGTATTTTACTAAATTTACTATATAGCGCACTAGAATACTATATAAAAGAAGAAGTAAAGGTAGTATACTAGCTTATATAAATAAACAAAGAATATAATAAGCTTTAAGAAGCTCTAGTAGCTATAATAGAGCGCAAATTATATAAAAGAAAGCAAATTAAGATAGAAGAAAGTATAATAGTTAAAAAGATATAGTACTTAACTACTCTAAAAGAGTTTAAGGCATATAGTAATAGAAAGAAGCTTAAGAAAAGAGTATGCGCTAGTAGAGGTAAACTATCCTAATAATAGTAAAGAATATATAGTAAGATAAGGCATAATATATAAATATATAAAAATAATATAATAGTAGTTTCTAAGTAATATTATAGTTTACTTTACCTTCGATAGGCCTAGAATAGGCTAATATAGGCTAAAGTAGAGTATAATAAAAAAAAGTTTTAAGAAAAGTATTCTACTAAAAAAAGTTTTCTATTAACCTAGTATATATATTATAAGTAGATTACTTACTAGATAAACTCTATTCTAGAGCCTTACTTAGAATTAGC